GTCCCTCCAGATACTGGCCACTTAGACACTGAGTTAAAATTTATTTCAGCACTCCTGACTCCCAGATGCATGTGTCCTTTGAATTCTGCTTGAAGTCAGATGTAACATATGACCAATTCCCTGACTTAAATAATTTAAAGATTTAAATAAAATTTTTATCAAGTTGTCATTCTATATCATGTGACAGACATGATTTAAAAATATTATTCTTCAGGCTTAAAAGGTTATCAGAAGTTCTGTTCCTTCCTTTTTGCTGTAGATCTGAGTGGTTATTGTTGAAATGGGCAAGTTCATGAATGCTGGGAAGGTGGTGCTGGTCCTAGTTGGATGGTGCGTTAGACAAATGGTCATTGTGAAGAATACTGATGAGGGCCTTCCCAGTGGTGCAGCGGTCGAGCGCTGGGCTGCGAAGCTGCCTGCAGCCTCTGCAGCACCGGTTCAATCCCCAGCCGCCGGCAAGGGTCCCAGATGGCGCGCAGACCTCTCCTGCTGCGCCCACTGCTCCCCTCAGCAGTGCACTTCGTCAGTCTGCCTGCTGTGTTCCCTGCTCTGGCTCTGGTGAATTCTCTCACCCTCCTGTGCTTCTGACTGTACCCAGTGCTTGTATAAATAAATAAATAAATCTTGAAAAAAAAAAAAAGAATATTGATGACAGCACCTACACCACCCTGACAGTCACACTCTGGTAGCTGGAGTCAACCACCATCCAGGAAAAGTGACAGCAGCCAGGGGCAAGGACTTTCCTTATTTCCCCTTGTCCCCTTCTCCATCCCTCTTCCTAAGGAGGTTTATTGACATCCAGTAGATTCTGGAAGCATTTTGCTTATAGAATCACCTGCTATATAAATGTCCAGTATTTCTTTTCATTGTTCTGACTTGCTTTACTGTGCATAATTCTCTCAAACTGTCTCCATTCTGCTAAAAATGGTGGCACTTCATCCTTTCCTTATGGCTGCATAGGATTTCATCAGTGTGCATAGACCACATCTTCTTGAACCAATCTTATACTGATGGTCATTTCGACTGCATCTATGTCCTGGTTATTGTAACTAATGCTGCTGTGAACACTGTAGAACGTATACTTTTGTGTGCTGAGGGTTTCATAGTCTTTGGATAGATTCCCAGGATGAAATTGTTGGGTCATGACAGTATTTCCATTTTTAGTTTGTTAATTTATATCCAGATTGACTTTCCATAATGATTGCACCAGTTTTATTCTCACCGATAATGTAATAGGGCTCCTCAATTTTCTACACCTCTTCTTATGGGGGGGGGGTTTCTTTAATATGTGCCATTCTCACGGATGTCAGATGGTACCTCATGGTGGATTTAACTTGCATCTCTCTTTTTTTTTTTTTTTAAAGGTTTATTTATTTATTTATATATGCACTGGGTACAGTCAGAAGCGCAGGAGGGTGAGAGAATTCACCAGAACCAGAGCGGGGAGCAGAGCAGGCAGAAGGACCGAAGTACACTGCTGAGGGGAGCAGCGGGCGGCAGGAGAGGTCTGTGCGCCATGTGGGACCCTCCTCCGGTGGCCGGGGAGCAGCCGGGGATCGAACCGGCACTGCAGAAGCTGCGGGCAGCTTCGCAACCCAGCGCTCAACCGCTGCGCCGCCTGGGAGGCCCTAACTTGCATCTCTCTTAAAAGGGAACTTTCTTGGGTCTCCCTGGTGGCACAGCAGTTGAGTGCTGGGCTGCAAGGTTGCCCGCAGCCTCTACAGCGCTAGTTCGATCCCCGGCCACCGGGCGAGGGTCCCACATGGTACGCAGACCTCTCCTGCTGCGCAGACCTCTCCTGCTGCACCCGCTGCTCCCCTCAGCAGTATATTTCATCACTCTGCCTGTTCTGTTCCCCGCTTTGGCTCTGGTGAATTCTCTCGCCCTCTTGCACTTCTGACTGTACCCAGTGCTTGTATAAATAAATAAATAAATCTTTAAAAAAATTTAAAAAAAAGGGAACTTTCTTGTGCCTTTGTGACAGGAGGCACAGCTGTCTCCTTGGAGAAATTCACCAGCTGACAGTTCTGCTCTCACCCTCCCAGGGAAACTGGGAGATAGTGGCTCTGTATCCTTTCATGTTTACAGTTCTAAGAGATGTTTACAGGTTCTTGAGAAATATATTTCGTGGGTTGTAAAACTGGCTAGAGGCTTTAAAAATAGACTGACATTCATTTCAAAGGGCAGAGAAAGGATTTAGAATGACACATTTTGTAAAGTAAATAAGAAACCAGAGGGCTGGGTCCTCTGTTTTGGATTCTGGAAGGAGGCAGGGACAAGGCTGTCTTAAACTTAGTCAAGCTAAGGGAAAAGGTCAAAGGCCATCTTGGTGACCGTCTATAAAATCATTTGCCTGGGTTCAAATCCAGGTCCCACGGTTTATTAGCTGGATGACCTGGGGCAAATTTCTCAACCTCTCTGGGTCTAATTTCCTCATCTTTTAAAATGCAGTTACATAATTCTTGCCTCATCACTGGCTATGTAGATTAAATATGTTAATCAAAGTGTAACACTCAAAATAGTTGCCGGCACGTAATAAACTTATTACTTGGCTATGGGATAAATTACTTTACCAGTCTAAGCTTCCTCCATCATCCCATCTGATCATTTATTTTTTAATTTTTTTTTTGGTGAGTTCTTGATTTTAAACCTAGTATAGCTATCTGAAGTATCACACTCTACTGCAATTGTATCTATCTTGGGTACTGTCAATATTTATTAATCAGTTGCAAACACTATTATTGTTGCTGACTGATGTTTGTTTCACTTCTCTCTCCACTAACTGATTGTATTTTTAGTTCCCTACATATCTGGCTACTTTACAACTATACATGTTTGTTATTCATTCCTCTTGAAAAAAATCCTCAGATTTTTTCTCTTATCTTTTTTCCTCCCACTACCATCCCTTACACTTCCCTCTTAATCTCAAAAACCTTCATCCTCTATGAATCCTTGTTTTACTCATATCTGTAAAAATGTCCAGTCTTTGTCTTTATCTCTTTGACTTGTTTTACTACACACAATTCCCCTAAGTTCATTCCATTTTGTTGTAAATGTTAATATTTCATCTTTATGGCTGAATAGCATTCCATGGTGTGGATAGACCACATCTTTATTTTTTTTTTAACATTTTGAGAGGACAGGTTTATTAGGAAAAGGAGAAAAGGAAGCACCTGCATAGTCACAGGTGGGCAGGAGAGCTGCCCAGACCACAGCTTCTTGATCCAACACCTCAGCAGTGGGCACTTAGGTTGCTTCATACCCTGGCTATTGTAAATGCTGCAATAAACTCTGTGGAGCCATCTGAGAATTTACATAGAAAATTACATGAGATGGTAGATGCAAATCACTAAAATCCCTATTGCTATAGTTACTATTGAAAGAAATGCTGCTCAGACAGTTTTTATCTCCAAGTAAAAGAAAGAAATTTTGACCCTTGTCAACAATACCAAACCAATTTGCACAAGCAGATAGCTGCAAAATGTGACAGCCTAAGGAATGCAGGATCTAATTGTATATCTGGGGATCCCTTAGTAAAACAAAATGTTAAAATCAAACCAAGGCCCACGGAGATAACATAAAACAGGCCAGATGGGCGCAAAAGGAACAAAGGGTTTTAATGTACATTACCAATTGTAAGAAGGAATTCAGGTGCCATCCAGGTAAGATTTTAACTCCTGAGGACTCCATTAATGAGGAAAAGGGGAGAGACTTGCACACTAGGGTATAAAAACTGAATAAAAATGTGTATTGGCATGCCCGCCTTCTAGATAGACACCTGATCTTGCAAGACAGTCAGTAAATTCTCACTACCACTGTACTCCTTGGCTCCACGTCCACTCTTTGCATTTGGGAGGGTGGGTGCATTTCACACACTCTTATCGATGTTACCACTTACACTGTTGCTCTTGCTCTTCATTCTCTATTTTCCTACCACAGTCATTATTCACTATCGTTTTGTTATTACCTCGTACAACTCCCTATCGAGAGTGACAGTGGCAATGTTATCTCACTTTCCCCACCTCTAGTGCCCCTGCATCAAGCATTCCCAAGCCTCCCAGAATCTCTCATTCTCAAGCCAGGATTTTCTTCCCTGGAGCCTCTGAAATACCATCTTCTGATTGGAGAAGATGAAGAGATGGCGCTAGGGTCCCGAGCTCCTAACACGAAGCAAAGGCAGACAGCAGCACCCTCCACTCTTAGGCCCTTTGGGCAAGTGGGATGCAGTGACTGAGTTCACTGAGTGATTCTTAAGAAACCAGATAGGTAGCAAGGTAGATGGGGTATGGGGAGGGTGTCTTAATCCATTAAGCAAAGCTCCTCAGCATTGCTAAAAGCCCCATTCACCCCTCAATACTGCTTAAGGATTTCACTGAGCTCCCCCCACCAGTGAGGTCACCCACAAACTGGCTAATCCCCAGGAGATGCAAGGCGTTCCCCCCCACTGTCCCCCGGGCTGTGACTCAAGATCTCAGCTCCTCTAGCTGTGAGTGGTCTTGACATTCCCACCCTGGCACAGCTTCAAGAGGTTAGTGCAAGGAATGAGGTAGAAATAACGTCTTTAAAGCACTATATAAAGTAATTAAACTTTTATTAAAGGATTGAATGTGCCAGAAACTGACCACACAGAGGCAGAAGGCACGGTGCCTGCCCTTGAGGAGCTCACAGTCCAGTAAGGAAGAGGTGGACACAACTGGCACCTAGATGCAAGGGCAGGGGGCAGCAAACTGGCAGGAAAAGCCATTATCCTGCCCCACCCTCCCACTCCGGGATGGGTATGGGAAGCTGATCATTCTTTCCCAACTTCCCTGTGACCACTCCAACTTCTCTCTGTCCTAGGCACCATGAGGTGACGAGAAAGAGAAAAAATTAGGGAGTAGATATGTTTGCTGCCCCCCAAGAGCTGAAACACCCCGGTAGAATATATACAACAGTAACTTTATTTCCCAAGGCCGCAAACCAGTGCAGCAGAAGCTGGGGATACTGGGGGCAACTGAAGGAACAGGGGCTGGGCCAGCCCAGTCCAGTGGTGGGGAAGGGAAGCCATGGGAAGAGAAGCTACCTGGGGCCAGGAGATAGGGCAAGAGGGAGGTTTCCAGGGGAAACTCATAGTAGGGTGCCAGCAGCCACAGCCAACAGAAGAGCTGCCAACCCTGCTGACAGAGACGCCGAGCCATTATTATGGGACCCACCTTTTGTGGGGTACTGCGCCATGTTACTACGGTCCTGGTGACCAGCAGCACCTCCAACCAAGTTCAAGTCCTCACTACGGGAGATCTCAGGTTTTACTTCCTGTGGAGGGGTGCGGCTGGCTGGGGTTGGGGTGGGTTTGGTGGTAGAGGTGGAGGTGGTTGGGGCTGGGGTGGAAGTTGTGGCGGAGGTGGTTGGGGCGACCGTGGTGGTCTGAGGAGGGGGCAGCAGGACGAGGGGTGGGATTCGAGGGGAGAAGTAGGTCTTGTTGCGGAGGTCGGAGTTACAGCGGGACCCCTGGCAGCAGGAGCCGCTGAGCGTGAACCCCGGGCCTGTCACGGTATCCCGGGTGCAGAACTCATCCTGGACGCAGCCCCGGACAGGTAAGGACACAGTCACATTAGCTGCAGGAGGGAGACACAGACAGGTCCGTGGTTGGAGGGTGGGGGGTAGGCACAGTCAGAATGAAATTCAGGGGGCAAGAACCCCCAAAACAGGAGTCAGAAGAGCTCTGTATCTATCCATTGATTCCAAAGTCTCAAGTCGGGCCCCACTTTGAGAAACAGTCTTGGGCACACGGCACATGGGCCACATTTCCTATAGCACTTTGGAGGAACAGTGTGTAGACTGAACTACAAGTCCCAACACCTTGGAAAAAGCATTTGGACAGGGATACAACACCTCTCACCAGAACCAAAGAGCAAAACAAAATTCCCCTTTGTCCCTCCCGCCAGTTTCCCTCGATTTCTTCTCTTTCCTCACAACCCCGAGGCCACATTTACTCTCAGACTCAGAGAAGGACAGCTCCCAAAATACACGTGGCAGAGGATGGGGCTTGAAAAACTGCATCTCCCATGTTCCCTGAGGCTGAGGCCAGGAGGCCACGCTTAAATATTCTGGGATAAGTGGGGGACTCCAACCCCTTCCCTTTGGAGGCGTCAGAACCAGATACCCCGCCATGCCTCGCAGAAGCTTGGAGGTTCAGGTCCATGCTCCCATTCTGCTCCTGGCAGAACCTCTACGGAAATGTATTTCCAAAAATCACTCCACTCGACTAAACTGAGGATGGGCTGCATTGCTCATGCTGCTCTAGAGCAAGGCAAGCACCGTGGCCTACCGTTTCCAGAAGGTGCTGGAGGTAGGAGAACCTTGGGGTTCTGGGCCGGCTACCGACCGCCCACGAGGCTTCGGAAAAGCTACCACAACCCCTGCAGGCCACTCCGGGGCTCACTCACCTGCAGTCAAGGTAACGTTGCCGTCGAAACAGCCCTTGTAGACGCGGTCACTAGCATTGTAGCAGCTCACAAGCGGCGGCGCGGTACCCTGGCACTTCTCGCGGCTCAGCCCCACGCAGCTGTAGCACTCGGTGCCGTTGGGCGCGGCTGCACTTTCGTTACCTGTGCCGGGAGCCGTAATGAAGGAAGGGGCGGGGAGGGGCTGGGACCCGAGGACCCTCCGGCCAGGTCTCCGCCCCTGGAGGAAGCGCCTCTCCGCCGCTAGTCCCGCCCCTAGGACCCAACCTCACGGTGCTTCCAGCAATCAAGCCCCGCCGGGGGTCTCTAAGCCCCTCCGCCTCGTGGCCCCGCCCACATGTTTGCCCCGCCCCTCGGGTCCAACCTCCAGGTACTTACGGCGATCAAGTCCCGCCCCCCGGCACCGAGGCCCCGCCCCCAGCGCGCACCTGGCTCGCCCCCAGCCGCCCGGCCCGAACCTGGCGCCGCCTCTGACCTGCGGTGTCAACTCCACCCACCTGCGGGGTTGAGAGCGCGCGAGGTGAGGTTGAGCTTGGTGTTGCAGCGGTCCTGGGTGCACTGCTGCAGCTGGATGAAAGCCAGGATCCCGAAGAGGTCCAGCCCGCGGTCATTCTTGCCGGGGAGTCCCGATCCGCAGCCCCGTATTGCCACCGAGAATTGTCCGTGGACTGAGGACGGGAATGGGAGCGAAGTCAGAGATCAGGCCTCGAGGTCAGGCCTCGAGGGACTCCCTGGTGGCGCGAGGGGTTAAGCACCGCACTATGAAGCAATCCGCAGCCTCTGCAGCACGAGTTCGATCCCCAGCCAGCCAGGGAGCTACCCACATGGCACAGCAGACCTCTCCTGTCTCCCCGCTGCTCCCCTCAGCAGTGTACTTCGGTCACTCTGCCTGTTCTGCTCCCCGCTTTGTCTCTGGGGAGCAGAGGACTGACCGGCCAGGGTCGGCAGGCGGGGGGCCTCAAAAAGAGCCATTGGAGAGTGACAGACAGAGGGGGGGACCCCCACGAGCTGAGTTCGAGGGGACAGACAAGCTGACACTGGACAGAATCGAGGGGGAGGGCTAGGGGCGGAGTTAGGACGGAACCGCAGGGAACACTCTCAGAGGGAACTGAGGGACCGACCTAAGGGCCCAGGATCGGCGGGAGGGGGAGCCTCCTGGGAGCTGTGGCCACAGAGAGGGACGGGATTTCAGGGAGGCTGAGTCAGGGGCGGAGCCTCGGCCTAGGGAAACCCGGGGAAAACCTCCAGAAGACGCCCCCTCACGTGGGGCCCCACTGGATAGGGGAGTTGGGTTTAGGAGAGGATTCCGGCAGGACAGAAGTGGGTAGAGAGGCTCGCGCGTTCACTGCACCCCGCTCGCAGCTCTCAACCCTCACCCCTAAGCCCCAGGGGCGTGGTTTGTGCTGCAGGAGAAGGCCCGGGCCGCGTTGAAGGGGTGTGGCCAAATCCGGAGGGAGGTTCGGGACTATCAGGAGGCGGGGCCTGACTGAAGATGCCTGAGGGGTACGCGAGGAACTGGGGGCCTCACTCACTGGTCTCCACCGCCCCCACGGCCTCGGTGCAGACGTCCACGCCCGGCGCGCACTTTACGGTCTTCATCTTGCGCGGGGAGCATCCGTCATCTGCCTTCTGCACGCAGCTGTAGCACTCCAGGGCCTGAGCTCCTAGGGGTGCAGGGCCGGGTGGGACTGAGCAATCCCTGCTGAAGCCTCCTTCCCTCTGTGCCCCGGACGAGACAATCCGATTGCACACCCTTTTCCACGGCAGGAGTAAAGAAAAATTCCCCACAAATTTTGGGCCATGGGATACAAGTGCCCCTGACTATGGTGGGAACATCCTTCCCGACAGATCCCTACCCCTGATGGGGGGAACACGTACCCACAGTTCTCTGTACAGGGTGGGAACTTGATGTTTTCCCAAAGTCAAGTGGGTTCATTTCAGTAAGAGTTCCCTTCCCACAACCCCCTATGCGGCATGGGGGGGGGTACTTCACATGCCCCCTCTGAGCAGGCCAGGGGACCCTTCCCAAGCCCCTCTGCTTAGGATGGAAGAACTCTCCCCACAGCCCCCCAGCCTTCTCACAGCCCTCTCTGACCAGGGTAGATGGTCTTTCCTACCGCCTCTCAGCCCAGGCTGAGAGATTCTTCCCACAGCTTCTCCGTGGGGGGTGAGAGGACCCTCCTCTCTCCACCCCCGCCCCCAGTCCACTCCCTTGGACTGCAGCAGACCCACCTTCTCCAAGCAGCAGTGGAAGCAGCAGCAGGAGCCAACCCGTTGTCCAGATCCCTGCCGGGAAGCCTGCTTTCCTGGCGGAGTCCATGGCTCCGTCCTGCTCCCTCGGTGTTCCCCTGGGTGTGCCACCTCCCAACCCAGGCCCTCTTACTTGAGCCCGGGATGAGTAACCTCCCCCCAGGCAACCCCCGCCTTGCCCAACCGGGCCAGCCAAATCAGCGTCCGCTGTGGGGCGGGATACTCGCCCCTGGGTGCGTCACCCACAGCTGCCAAGGAAAGGGCGGGAGTCAAGGATCCCCAACAGCTCCCAGGAGAAAGTCTTTGTGTCTGGGGGGACACGTGGGAGCGCTGAGGCTCAAAAAGAAGGGTCCACTCACTCTAACTGGCCAGTCAGGAAATACTGACTGTGTTCCCACAGTGTGCAGCCCCTAGAGATTCAGAGCCAATCAGAGCTTGGCCTCACGGAGCTGGCAGTCTGGTGGTACACGGGGTGGGAGTAAGACAGATGTGAATCAAATCATCATGCAATTTCTTCTTTACAGCGGGATAGTGAGGGCAAAGTGTGGGGAGCCACAGGAAGGTGTGAAGTCTTGAAACAAGGGCTAGCCAGTGAGGCTTCCCTGAGATCATTTTGAGTTACGTTTCAAAGACAGAGAGGATTTAGGCAAAGAAGCAGGTCCAGGTGGGAGCAGAGGGCATTCCAGCACATACGTTGAAGTAGGAAATGGCACACAACCCTCCAAACACAGTGGGAAGCAGTGAGCCTGGAGGTCAGAGGGGAGGGGATTGGGTGGAAACTGAGGCAGAAGAACCAGGGCATTTCAAATCCTAAGGAGAGATGTGGATCAGTTCTGAGAAAGGTGGAGAATCTTTGAGAGGGTTAAGTCAGCTTAGGGACATAATCAGATATGCTTTTTAATACAACAGATCTGGGAAATAATACAATCCATGGGAAAGTGAATGGCCAAAGAATGATTCACTAACCCCCATGGAATACTACACAGCACTGAAAATGACTCAGCTGCTGGGATCTGCAGCCACATGGATGAATCGCAAAAACTTAATCAGTTCAAGAGCCTTAAATAAAACAAAACATACGGTATGACTCCACTGATATCTCCTAGAACAAACACATCAGTCGTGATAGAAATCAGAACAGGGCAGCTTTCCAGCCCACCTGTGACTATGCAAGTGCCTCTCTTTCTTTCTCTTTTTCTTAATAAATCTGTCATTATAAAATGTAAAAAAAAAACCCAAAAACACAAAAAACCAAATAGGGGGTGGCTTTGGGGAGGGCTTTACTCCAAAGGAGAAATAGTGAGGCACCCCCACTACCTTCATCGGGGTGATAGTTACACATGTATACAAATATGAAAAGAATCACCAAGCTGTCTACTTCTGTACTTGACTGAGTACACGATCCCCTTTTTTAAAGAAAGAAATAAAAAGGAAGAAAATGTCACTGTGGCCTCTGTGTTGAAAAAGAAAGGACTCCAGAAGGGGAGGGAGGGAGGCGGTAGGCCAGTGAGGGACCTGGCCCCAGCATGGCTGAGGTATTCTGTTGCACGCACACGATGTCACAGGACATCAAGAGACAGGGACGCGGTCACCGTGATGGAGAGGCAAATGTGTTACCATGTCTGAGCATGGAAACAAACAAGAGTCCTGGCAAGCCACAAAATGACTAAGCATCCCCACGTCCTGGCTAATATAATGATTGCTTATATCATGTTGTGTTATGTTATAATTGTCATAAAGTTACAGTTCTAACCTTGTTTGTTTCTCCTGATCCATAGATAAGATTAATCTATGGCGGGGGGGAAAATAGCGGCCATCTTCATGAAGATATTATCTATTCCCCAGACCCTGTTGGGTACCCCGTGCCCAACAATGACTAGTGCCTCAGTCACACAGGTGGGGTCACTTGGCATCATGGTGAGGCTCTGAGAGAGAAAGTGACTACTTATGATGTCAGTCAGCACTGGCCCCTGCTTCCCAGCCTTGGAATCCCAGCCCCCCTTATTGTTTGCGGGGGGCCATGCTTAAGTGTCCTCACCTATGTGAGCCTCTGAAGTGTCTGTTTTATCACTAAAGGAGAGTCTTACATGGTGGATTGAGGTAGTGGGCAAAGTGTTGAATTTGGAATCAGACAGACTCAAATTTTAATCCTGCTTCTGCAATTCTCTTGCTGTGTGATTTCGCTTAATTTGGTCTCCCTCTCTGAACTTCAGCTGCCTCATTTGCCAAGAGGGTCTGAAAACCCTTATCTCCTGAGGGAGTAGTGAGGACTCAGTGAGTGACAGGCAGGATGATGATACTACTGTTATTGTCTGCTCAGGAGCAGGAGGCCCTGCTGGCCCCAGCTGCGTGGGAGAGTTTCAGGGAGGAACCCCAACTGGCCTGACTGGAAGAACTAGCGTCTTGGGAGGGAGTGGGACCCAGGGTGGGGAACCTCCTCCTGCTCAGGCCTGCCCGGATTCTGGGATCTGACCCCCGCCCCCCACCCGCCACCTGGCCCAGCACCAGAGAGCAGAGGGAGGTTTGAATGCTGGGGACCACCACGCAGGACTGCTGTTGTGCCTCCTTCCGCCTTCTCTCACAAAGGTCTCTGCAAAGAGATACAGAAACTGGTTCCCGGGAATATGAACAGAGGGGTCGGTGAGGAGGCTCCCCAGGAGGCACAACAGGACCTCAGACTAGCATGGGGTCATTTCCACTCTTGGTTTCCCATCCCCAGAGGCAGAGCATGCTCTGAGCCCAGGGGCATTCCCACTTGTCTCAGACCCTCCCTCTAAGAAGTACTGCTGAGATCTGCCAGGACAGGGGTGGGGCAGCGGCAGGGCCAGCCAGACAATTTGCAAAATGAAAATACTGGGACCTGGTTCAAAAGGTAGGAAAGAGGGCCGTTAAATGTACTACTATAGAAATTTTTTTATCCCTGTGTTCCATCTCTCTTGGCTGCTCCTGGTGTTTAACTTCATGTTCCGCTGTGAACAAGGATGCTCAGGGGGGTGAGCACAGACCCACACAGGTGTCCAGCCTCTAACCAAAGCAAACCGAGGGTTTGGTTCCCCCACCAGTAGTCCACAACCACACCCCACCCTGAGATGCTCTGACCGGTCCCTGACCCTTAACTTCCCATGTGCACTGAGGCCCTGCCAAGGCTGGAGGGTGGCAGTGGTCACAAGGCAGGGACAAGGAAGAAGACAGCCAGAACCTGTCCAGCGAGGGGGACCTGGGGAGAGGTCAGGCTCCAGGCCTCCCAGCACATGCTCCATGTCCCTTCAGACTTCACTAACAAAGCACAGACTCAAATACAAAATTAAGAATTTTCAGATGCAAACAAAGAGCATTAAACCCACAGGACTTCTTCTGTGCATGGGGAATTGTCAACTACACCGATCCTATGCCCATGAAACTGGAGGCCTAATATGCAGAGGGACTGGGGGATGAATTGATCCAAGAACGCAGGTGCCTCACACCTGGAGGTGAAGGCCAATGGACACCTGAAGTCCCTGAGGGCCTGGTAAATGGGGTGTTTATAATTCCAGGACTCAGGAGCATCATATCTGGATCTTCAAGGAATCCTGAGACAAGATACCCAGGTCCTAAGGAGATGGGAAGCAAAAGGGATAAATGCTAGATCCAGACAGGTTTGAGGGAGGAAGACCTCTCTACACACAGTGACACTTGTCACTGAGAGATCAGGGCTCTAGTAGGCAGCCCAGGGGACTGCAGAAGTCCAGAATGGCATGAACTAGGGAATAGGGACAGCTTCTTGAAGGAGGGGACAACTTGCATAAGACCTAAAGGATGAACAGAAGTCAGCCAGAGTCCGATGTCTGCCTTGTTCAGCAGTCCCCAGATCCTCAGCATCTTTCTTATCAGTGCAAGTCAATTATCAGACATGCCCTCTATACCTGGTTTGCACTAGACCCTTTGCTTTATGCCAAAGATACAGTATTGACTGACACAGCCCCAGTCTCCACCTCTTGAGTCTCCCACACAGTCCAGGAGACATGCTTCCCAGCAGTGACGATAGAGAGTGGTCAGGTCATGATGGGGGGAAGCACAGGGGATGGTGATCAGGGCTGGGATGGGGGGCGGGAAGTGGAGGCAGTATGATCAGGTTTGTGATGGGAGATACACAGGCAGGGTTCTCTGAGCTGGGGATGGGAAGCCCAGAGGAAGCATTTGGCTTAACCAAGAGAATCAGGGCCGTTTTCATAGAGAAGGAAGCATTTGAGCTATCTTACCTAAACACTAAGTAGGAGTTGAGTGGAATGGGGAAGGCACCTTAGCAAAGGGAATAGTATGTACAAAGATAGAAGGATTAAGGGGAAACCTTTTTTTTTTTCTTTAATGTAATGAAACATGCTCTGTGGTGCTTGAGGACACAGCAGTAACCAGGATAGTTCTGGCTCTGCTCTCACGGAGCTCCCAGTCCATAAAGACACAGATCCATTACCAGTGAAGGTCCAGGAAGTTTGAGAACGGGACAGAGAAGCTTAAAAGGGGGGTGATGCTGGACTTAGTATGGGGATTCAGGAAGGGCTGTCTGCAGGAGGGGCATTTGAACTCAGCCCTGAAGAATGAAGAGCTGGCTGGTTAAGGGGAGGGCAGGGCAGAGGTAACGACATACCAAGACCAGGAGGGCAGGAATCTAGCATTATCTAGAACTTGCCAACAGCCCAGTCAGGTCAAAAAAGGGGTGGGAATGGACAGGCCTATAAACTAAAAAAACAAAATTTGCCAGAGATTAATGATGTATGTCTCCCCACCCCCTTCTCCCAGTCATGACCTTCGAGTTAAAGGCCTCCATTCCTAAAGACAGAATAGGCTGTGGGACGCCTGGCTCTCAGAAGCACCCACCATTCAGCTGTTCTGCCTAGACTCCAATCCACCCCCAACCCCACGCCTATGCTGAAAACCACAGCAGCAACCACTGTTTTTCTTCCACGTTTTATTCGATATCACAGGAGCACCAATAAATAGTTCCGTTCCGCACCCACAATCTTCTTCCTGCCCCGGGCAGGGCCCCACGGGCTGGCTTCCCGTCCAGGGAAGGCCCCCGCAGCCCAGAAGGCTGCTGCTCGGACCAGCCGAGCAGAATTCCCGGGAGCGTTCCAAAGGGGCGTGGCCTGACGTTAGTGGGCGGGGCCTATCTGGGACGTCCCCCAAGGGGTGGGGCCTCTCAGGGGGCGTGGTTCTCATCTGCCGCCGTCACTATGACGTCCATCCAAATACGCATGGCCTCCGGGCTCGGCGCCACCATGTAGAAAAGACGTTCATAGGTTTTGACACAGAACGTCAGGCGAGGGCTGGGGCTCTAGAAATTAAGCAGTGGAGGTGGTGAAGCGGAAAGACACGGGCCCACCCTGAGTTCGAATCCCCGCCTCAAAAGCTGTGCAGCTTTGGGTAAATTACTTAGATCCGCTGATCAGCTTCCCCATGTTGGTTCCTCATTGGATTATGAGGGTTAAATGAAATAAATAACTCGGGAGAAGGGGTTTAGGATTTGGAGAGCAAGGACGTCCCATGTCCCCTTTCCATTGCCTACGTTCTGTATCAGAAAGAGGCGTTCGAATTCCACCTCCCCTAAATTTAGGGACCCCTGATTTGTAACTGGGGAAAGTTAGTGTCTGCAAGTCCATTTATTGAGAAAACTACTTGCCAGCCCTGAACTGAGTAAATCCTTATGTCTATTGTGTTTTTAACTTCAATTCTGAGGAAGTGGGCTAAAGTGTGCCCACTCTGCTGGTGAGAAAACTAAGGCTGGAGGCGGGAAGTCACCCTCCTGACGTACCTCAGCTGGAATTCTAATGAAAGCTCTAAAAAGTCATTGCTACTCAGACGGCAGCTGCAGTCTTTAAAGGGTGATATTAGCGGGTTGCTCTCCACAGAGTACCAGTTGCCAGCTGCCTACATTTCTGTTGCTGCACAATTCCTGAGTCCTCCGGGGAAAAAAATTATCACAGCACACCAGGAGACCCATTCCCATTTGGCAACTATGGACAGAAGCTGAGAAATTACAGTTCCCCTTAGATGATCCCAGGATGCCTCCGCCCTCATCCTACCCTCTTCGTTTAGTCCCACCTGGGCATCAGAATTAGCCATATTTTTACTCTAACTCTTTTGCTTCAAGAAAAGTAACAGCAGCTGAGAGCCAGGGACCAGGATCTTTAACTTTTGGTCTGTGCAGTGAAAATGACGTGTTGGTCTCCTGTGATAGTGGGGTCTGCGGGTGGCCTTTCTCAGGACAAGCTAAGTAGGGACTCCAGTGGCAGGGGAGGGGGCGGTTCACCTTGAAGGCACAACGTAAGTGGTCGTAATAGACTTCTTCTATGGCCTGGAAGTAGATGACGCCTTTGAGCTTGGTCTCTTCCTTGTCTGTTGAAAGAGGGGAGGGAGAAACAAAGAGGGCTAGGGGTGTCATGGCAGGGCTCACTAAGCCCAAGTCCCCACAATGACATAGGGGTGAGGCACACGGTGACCAAATCTAAAGGCCCCTAAGGTTGGAAGGTGAATGAATGTTGATGCTGGAGGAGAGACTGGTAGGAAGAATGTACGAGATGGGAGTGGGGGCTGGGGAGCTGGAATCCTAGGTCCCCAAGTGCCTTAGTCCCTAAGAATGGAAGGGCAGCAAAGACATGTTCAAAGTCACTGTTCCCCTAGAGAGGAAGGCAAGGGGCCTGGCAGGGGAAAGGGTTACAGGAATGTGCTGACAACATGGGTTCTGACTTGGCTAGCTTAGGAAAATGGAGCCAGAATTGTCCGAAACCATTACTGAGTAGGGTTTGATTGATAAAGGAGGGAAGAGACTGGGAAGAGTAGGGATCTCTACTTCTGCTCCCGGGAAAAGAAGAGGCCAGGAGCCCAGACCCCTGGAGTCATGGGGGAGGAAAGAGCTTGAGGCCCAAATTCCTAGAACCTAGACAAGTCAGGGTAGTAGGGAGGGGGGCCTAGATTCCTGAGTCCTGAGAGAGGAAGGGGCTCCGGCTCCAGACTCCCAGAGCTGAGCGAAAAGGGGGCTGAGGAAGGAAAGGTGAGTGTGGTGGGGGAGACTGAGTGGTCTCTTCCAGGCTCCCGGGGGCCGCAGGTGGTGAGGCTGCACTTACCAGCGTAGTAGGCCAGGCGCCGGGCCTGGCGGTCGAAGCAGAACCATCGCTTCCTCCAGGTCTTGATGCGGCCGCCCATCTTCACCAGGGGTCCGCGGCAGCAGCCCCCGAACACCCGGAGGTGCGGGCAGCTGTCCGGGTTGTGGCCCCATCGTTCCAGATGCTGCCGAAGATCCAAGACCCGCGGGCCAGGAGGGCGGGGTGGAGGCTGGGGCGGAGCCTGGGGGGGATGTGAGGGGGGCTGCTGAGAAAGGCAAAGGATCAGGAAAGCTTCCTACATCCTGGCGCCGAGGCCCAACATGAGGCTGAGCGTCGCAGCTGCCTGGAAGGCAGCCACAGTCTATTTTTTTTTTAAAGATTTATTTACTTATACAAGAGCTGGGGTACAGGCCAGAGGCACGGAGGGTAAGAGAATTCACCAGAGACAGAGCGGGGAGCAGAACAGGCAGACAGACCCAAGACACTGTTGAAGGAAGCAGCAGGCGAGGCAGGAGAGGTCTGTCGCGCCATGTGGGTATCTCCTTGGCCAGCCGGGAATTGAACCCACGCTGCGGAGAGTGTGGACAGCTTCATACTGTGGCGCTCTACCTGCTGCGCCACCGGGGAGACCCAGCAGCCACAGACTTTAAAGGGTGATATTAGCGACTGACCAAGACAATCATTCCAACAGCTAATTAGGACGGGGTCAGTCTTGCCCAGAGCTTTCCCCTTTGTCAACTCCTGGAGTCCCCAAGGAGGCCTTTGGGATAGGTCCACTGTGAGAAAACTGAGGTGTAGCGATGACGTAATCCACCATTATCTCTCGTAGCTTATAGGTGGCGAAGCTGGGTGAACCCAGGTCTTTCCCACTCTAGAGCTCACCCAGAGATGTGAGGGCCCCTTCGGGGACCTTCATCTACTGCCTTTGTGAAGCAGGACCAAATAATAAGTGGTCAATAAATGAGAATCCTGTTTCCATTCTTATTATTGTTATTATTCTTGTGATGAAATTAGTGATTATTACCTCTGCCCGGCACTCTGTTAATAGAATCCCTCTGCCCTCCTCAAGTTCTCCAGGAGATACATCATTAACCCATTTTACAGATGTGAACACCAAGACTCAGAGGTTAAGTCACTAGGCCTAGTTCACACAGCTGAACTGACTAAGCCAGGGCTCACCAGGGAAAGAGATCATCTTAGGTGAGGGAGAAGAATTAAGGCCATAAATCTCACGTTTATGAGAGCTCGACCACAGACCCAGCTCGATCATGCCTCTTCTTCCAAACAATCCCTGTTAAGAATGGTTAGATCCCTGTGGCACACTGAGGCTCAGAGCCATACACCTGGGACTTTAGGGTACAAGCGGACCCCTGGGAATGTTGTTAAAATGCAGAACCTGAGTCATTCCAGGGGACCACACTCTGAGTATCAAAGTCTGAGAAAACTAAAGTGAGCTCAGAGCAAGAAGGGAGGAGAAAAAGAGATATTCCATGGATGGGCACTGGACAGCAAAGAGAGGGAATGAGGAGGAGCCAAGGAAATCACAGGAGAGGCAAGGGCAGTTGAAGGGACACCCTGGAATCTTATTGTTAAGAGTCATCTCCCCAAATCCATCCAGTAACATGAATGATCACCAGCCTGTATGGAAGTTCCTGTTGTGTGCCTGACAAAGTGTCAAGGTATCAGTCTTCAATTCCTTTCCAAAACAACCTATTACTGTCTCTATATCCCAGATGTGGAAACTGAGGCCTCTGGAGAGGAAGCAACACAACAAGGTCACCCAGGCAGGATGTGGTGGACCCAGGCCCCAATCCATGGGAGCAGGCATGGACTTGGAACTCTGGACTATGCTGCACATCTGTGTCACCCTTTGGGAATCCCTGTGCCACTCAGAGCCTCAGTTTCCATATACAGAAACTTGGGGGTCATCATGGCATACTTCTGGCAGAGCTGTTTCAAGGTGGAGCTTTGTGCTGCTGGGCTCCTACCTCAGTTGTTGCAATCTCAGAGGCACACTGGATCATGCGCAACAGTTAGCTTGGAGTAGAAGTGGGGGCAGGGAAGTGCACACAACAGAGGACTGCTGAATAAATGATGATGTCCTGGATTTTGCAGGCACCAAAAAAAATAAAACAACATAGAAAGATGCCCCAGAGCAGGAGTGTTTCATTTTTAATGACTTAGAGTGTATGCCTGACAACCGGAAGTCTCTGCCTCCCTTCCAGCTTTATTCAGCTCCCTGGCTTTTAGCACCTGACATGCTATTTAGTTTACTTATTAATGCTGCTTTCTGTCTGTCTCCTGCGAAAGCCAGCTTGCCTGAGGGCAGGGATTGTCATTTTGGTCACTCATGTAACCCAGACTTAGCCCACAGTCACTCCACTAACTACTAATTGAATAAGAAAAGGACAAAGGGTTGAGAAGACAGAAAAACTTGTTGGCAGTGATGTGCTCACCACATGATAAGGGGGGCTGAGTGTACATGGAAGTGTATGCAGAAGGTACAAAGGTTTCTCAATAAGAGAAAGCAATTGTACCCCAGAAGCCTGATGGGGAGACCAGAACTTTCTCTATGTAAGGTCACGTTCTTCAGTACAAGTGTGTCTGTGCTTTAGCATAGGTAACAATAAAATCTTAATGAGGCACTTATGGGCAAACCCCCAGAAACTCTACAGGATAAATTATTCCATTTTTTTCCATGACTACATGACTTTTTTTTCAGTAAGGAGAATAGAAACTCAGAGATGAAAAGATTCAGGAGACATTTGAACCAAATGCAGTCTGTCATTTTGCTGGCTCCAGATTCAAATAACCAAACACAAAAATACATTTTGGAGGGGCCTCCCTGGTGGTACAGGCGGTTGAGCACAGCGCTGTGAAGCTGTCCCGCAGCCTCTGCAGTGTGGGTTCGATCCCGGCTGGCCACGGAGCTACCCACATGGCACGGCAGACCTCTCCTGTCTCGCCCACTGCTCCCCTCAGCAGCGCTTTCGGTCCGCCTGCCTGTTCTGTTCCCCACTCTGTCTCTGGTGAACCCTCCCGCACATCTGGCCTGTACCCCGGTTCTTGTATAAATAAAAAATAAATATTTTTTTAAAAATTACGTTTTGGAGACAATGAGAGGAATAGAAATATGGACCATGTATTAGGACGCTACATCATTATTAATACTTTCACAAGGTCTGCTATATTTTTTTTAAAAGGTGTCTCTTGGAGATCCTGCTTGAGGTATGGGTGAGCTGACCTACTCTCTAGAATTTGCTTTAATAGGTCCACTGCTGAGTGGCAACAGGGAAGGGAAACAAAGTTGGCAAGTAAAACAAGATTCAATACTGATCATCACTGAAGGAAGCTTAATACTCCTCTATTCTATATTTGCATGTCTTTGAATATTTCTGAAACAATTATTAAAAGAAATAAAAATAAATAAGCTTTACAGGACTTTTTAAAGCCCTCAGCTGTAGCTGCCCCCATTCTGTGGTAACTGGTGACACTGGCACCTACTTACAGAAGAGGAAACTGAGGCACAGAGAAGTGGAACGCATTACCCCAGGACAGGTCAGGGATACAGATGAGCATAATGGGAACAGAAGCTAGGCCTTTCTTGCCAAGCCCGCACACTGTTCTGTCAGGGGAGGGGAGGAAAGGGTGAGATAAGAAAGCGGGGAGGCCAAGGAGGGAAACAGCAAGGAAGCAGGGAGAGGGCAGGGCAGGGACTCACCATGATGGCAGGGACAGCAGAGCCTGGGGAAACTTCCGGGCTTCTTTTGGTCCCTTCCTGTGGGTTCAGGATGAAGGAGTGAACAAGGTTGCTAAGGAATGCAATGTAGGGGAAATGTACCGGGTCTTGGGTCTGAGCGGGTATTGGAGGGGTCTGAGGGAGGAGGGACTGAGGCCTGGTCTCCAAAGGCAGCTGGAGCAGGATATCTGGAGGATAATCCTAAAGGGAAGGAGGAGACTCTGGGGTCTCACCCTGGCCTTGAGAAGCCGTTCCCTCTCCGCCACAGCCTGCTGCAGGAGCTGCTCCATGCGGGCAATGTCTGGGTGGAGGACTCCGCAGCTAGGAGAGAAGAGAGACCAGGGCAGGTTACAGTGGCCCAGCATCTTCCTCCCATCGCTCTACCTTCTCCCTATCACCTTACCTGTTCCCAGGGCCACAATTCAGCAGCTGATAAAGGGGATGTCTCCCAGAATCCCCTGTGGCTGAGGGGAGAGCAGAGGCCTTCAGAGGTCCTGAGGGAGAAGGGTTGGGGCTAAGGGACCAGCCTCTTCCCTTGTCAAGCCCCTCTAATCCTCCTTTCTCCCCCATGCAGGCAGGCATCCAGCCTTCCCCATCGTATGCTGCAGGAAAAGGGTGAAGGATGTGGAGATATATGAGCATAGGAACAGATCTCACCAGTACAATGGAGCGAGAGAGGGCGGGGCTCCCCCCTCTGGCTTGCCCTCTCTCCCCTCTTCCGGGTCAGGCTTCCTGTCCTCTGGAGGCCAATGGCACCCTGGAGACATACACGAGTCAGGCACATAGAAAAGATGTTCAGTCTCACCCTAAGTGTGGACAGGGACCTAAGGCCCAAAGGAGAGAAGAGTTCGCCAGGGAAGACTAAGGGAAAGAGTGTTTCAGGTGGGAGGATCAACAAGTGCAAAGGCCCTGAGGCATGAACAAGTGTGGCATATTAGAGTGTCAGTGCTCCTACAGCTGAGCAAAGTGGGTATGAGGGAGAGTGGTGAGAGGTGGGCAGGGGTCAGATCATGGTTAGAGGTTAGAGGTGCACTGAACGAAGGCTTTTGATGAGGAGGATTGGAATAGGAGGGATGAAGATCCCTCTGGCTGCTTTGTAGTATGGCACACAAGGACTCAACAAATACTAGCTGTCCTGAATATTATGCATGTTATTGTTATTACAGAACTATTAAAAATGAAGAACTCTAAAGCAACAATAGAAAATGATCTCCAAGCTAGAGTGTTATGTTAGAAAACAAAAACCAACTAATAGTTAATATATATCTACCCCACGTCTAAGCACTAGCTGTATGTTCACACCACTGAAATACATCTTTTTTCAACTCCTAGTCACCCAACCTCATGCACAGACTCTGCCATTTCATTTAAAATTAGCAACTAGGGGGCAACCCTGATGGCCTAGGGGTTAAGTCAGTGCTATCACTGTGAAGAAGGCTTGAGTTCGATCCCCGGCCAGGGAGGTGACCCACATGGCACAGCAGACCTCTCCTGTCTTGCCTGCTGCTCCCCTCAGCAGTGTATTTCAGTAGATCTGCCTGTTCTGCTCCCCACTCTGTCTCTGGTGAATCTTCTCACACCCTCCCTGGCCCTTCTGGCCTACATCCCAACTCTTCTATAAAAAATAAATGTTTAAAAAAATTAGCAATTAGTAACTCCTTCATAAGTTGGGATGCCCAGTTTGAACGGGGCCTCTCTGGAAGGTAGGACTCTCAAGAAACAAGCAGCTGCTTTGGGGTGAGGGGGCTGTAGATCCCAGGCAGCAAGGAGAAGAGTGCTTCTTGTCAATAGAACCTGTTGGACCATTGATTAAAAATTACCCCTGGGCATGCATGTTCCCATTTCACCAGAGGAAGGGTGGAACGAGACGCAGAAGAAAGGGGAGAAAATTAGGAGTTAGTCATGCTGGCTCTCTCCCATGTATACAGGACATATACATGTTACCATTAAGCTTCTTTTTGGCTTTAAAAAAGAGAAAAAAATAATCATAATATAGCTGGAGTCTGTTAAAAAAAAATTAGTAAAGCCCCAGATCATCCTTCTGTCTCTCACACTGCACAGCAGGGTTAACCACAGAGGAAGTTCTGGAGATGGACCTCTAAGACATGAGAACTGAAGCTGAGGGGGCGGCACCTGCAGGGAGCTGTGAACCGAGAAGAGGCAGGAGGAGGTGGTGGCAGTGTGGGCGGTGGGGTCCTGGAGCACCAGCAGCTGGCGATCTGTCTTCTGAGTGAATAGGAGCTGCAGGAGAGCAGGGAGGTTGATGGGAGCTGGCAGGATCACAGAGGACCCTCCAGTTCCCCAGTGCTCTGCCCCAGGCTCCAGGTGCCATCCCATTTCTTAGATGGAAAACACAAAAGCTCAAGGGCAGGAGAGGGCTGCAATGTAGGCTTGGTCTCCAAGCCCCCCAAGCCCCAAACTCTCCCATCCCCTGTAGGGGGGAATGTGGTTAGAAATTTATGGTTCCTTGAAAAGGGGCTGAGGAAGAAGGAGGTAGGGGGAGGGACCCTAGGATCTGAAAGAGAAGATGAAGGAAGGGAGATCTGGGTCTGAGGGAGGAGGAGATGGGGGGTCTGCACTCCTGTGTCCAAGAGAGGGGTGGAGGTCTAGACTCAAAGGTCACAGGTGAATGAAATTCCCCTACCTTAGTGAGGGCCTGGTTGGACTCAGAGAAGTCCCCATCAGGAGTTCCCTGAAGGCAGTTTAGCTCAAGCAGTCGGCTACGTTCCTAGGAAAGGACAAACTATCACGCACTACCCCATCTCAGAGGAAATGTGCCATCCCAGGCGCTTCCCTGATGCCAGAAGACATCTGCGGTGCAGGGTGGGAGTACCCCCAAGGGGAGTGAAGATGGTAGGACAGATCTCCGAGCTCGGAACCTACCTGTGTCAAGGCCTGAATGGCCTCTTCCTTCTTCCGGCTCAGCCCCCGGCTCTCAGCTGCCATTTGCTCCCCCAGAGTCTTCAGTTGCTCTTCCAAGACCTGGATCCGGCGCTGCAGAGAGGTTCCTGGCTACACATCTGCCCCAGGAGGCCCCGTAGACTCCCCAGCCCCACCATCCTGCAAAACCAGGGCTTTCTTGAGAGCCCACAGTGCGCTCCATCCCATAATAGAGACAGTGGGACCTAGATGCCCTTGATGGATTGGCGCGACTCAACTCTCTGGTGCTTTCTTCCCTTTTGAGGATCCAGAAGAGACCAGCTCTTGGAGGATTTAATAGAGAGAGAGAAACTGAGAGACACAGAGACCCAGGAAGAGTTGCCAAGGACAGAGAGAGAAAAAGAGACAAACCATCACATGTACAGAAAAAGCATGACCGAGACAGGCTTCCCATCCCTACCCCAGAGTCAGAGATGCCGAGAGAAGACAGAAATAGGACGGAGAGAAGTTGTGTGAGGCAGAAGAAGGGAAAAGACAGAGATGAGAAAAAGATGCAGAAATAGAGGTAGGGAGCAGAGACGCACATCAGACCTTCCAAAACGATGAGAAATTTTTGTGTTAAATGTAGCTGAGTATGGGCCTCCCTGGTGGCGCAGTGGTTGAGCACTGGGTTGCGAAGCTGCCCGCGGCCTCTGCAGCGCTGGTTCGATCCCCAGCTGCTCCCCGGCCACCGGAGGAGGGTCCCGCATGGCGCGCAGACCTCTCCTGCCGCCCGCTGCTCCCCTCAGCAGTGTACTTCGGTCCTTCTGCCTGCTCTGCTCCCCGCTCTGGCTCTGGTGAATTCTCTCACCCTCCCGCGCTTCTGACTGTACCCAGTGCTTGTATAAAATAAAATAAATAAATAAATCTTTTTTAAAAATTTAAAAAAAAAAATGTAGTTGAGTATGTGGCTTTTCCAGCAGGATCTATCACACCCTTGAAGGTGAAGCTCCAAGAAAGGAGAGAGGATATCTTTTTGGATTAGCATTTGAAAGGCAGAGAGTGCCATGGTGAAAACCATCAGGTTCAAATCCCAATGAAACCTTTCCAAACTAAGGGATCTTGGAAAAGATTACGTGAGCACCTTCAGTGTTTTCTTTATAAAATGAGAAAATACAGTAGGGATTGTTGTGAGGATTCCATGAGTCAATACTCGGGGAAAGGTTTAGAGCTGTGCCTAGCACCTGGTGATGATCAATGAACGTCAGCTACTGGGGCCTCCCCGGTAGCACAGGGGTTAAAGACAGCGCCATCAAGCTACTACCAGCCACGGCAGCAGGAGTTCGATCCCTGGCCGGCCAGGGAGCTGACCCACATGGCACAGCAGACCTCTCCTGTCTTGCCCGCTGCTCCCCTCAGCAGTGTATTTCAGTCATTCTTGCCTGTTCTGCTCCCCACTCTGTCTCTGGTGAATCCTCTCACCAGCCCCGCACCTCTGGCCTGTACCCCAGTTCTTGTATGCATAAATAAATAAATGAATAAATAAATAAATCTTTTGTATGCATAAATAAATAAATCTTTAAAAAAAAAAAAAAGAACGTCAGCTACTGTTGGGAGTATTCTGGAGGGTATGACACAGGTAGGCAAGAAGGACCACAAAAGGGCCAGACATGGAGTGGAGTAGACAGAAGACAAGGGTGAGGGAGGCAGAGCTAGACCAGCCCGGCTCACCCTGTGCTGTGCCACGCTGGCCTGAAGTTCCTGAACCTGGGGATCCAATGCTCGGGCCCCAGGGTTGTCCCGATCCTCCTCTTCCCGCCGGCTCTCCCGTTCCAGTTGCTGGAACTCCAGATCCTCGTAGGCACGCTGGGCCACATCCAGCTGTTCCCTCATCTGTCCAGGGAACCCAAAAGGGCTGGAGGCATGGACCCATAGGACCCAAGGGAGTTGTGGGCTAGGGCCAGGTCAGGGGTCAGGGGTTAAAGACTTAATGTCCAGCGTCTTGGGGGTCACGGGATTGAGTCCTGAATTCCTAGGTCAGGGAGGTGGGGATTGAGGACCTGGATTTCTAGGTTCTGGACACCAGATCCCTGAGAGATCCAGAGGGCCCTCACCTCCTGCACCCCCTGCAGAAGTCGCTCACGCTGGTCCTCTGGCTGTGACTCCAGCTGTCCCTGGGCCTCCTGGAGTCTCTGGCGGAGACCTTCCACTCGATCCCGCTCCTGACTCAGTCGCCTCTGCTCCTGAAAAAAGAACCAGACTCTATGTATCCTCAGCCTGAGCATAGAGAGGGAAACCAGCCAGCAAAGGTCAGACCATCCAGATCTCAGAGCTGCCTGGAGTGTCAGCTCTATGACGCAGGGACCCTGTCTGTCTGGCTCACTCTCATACAGGCCTATCCAGTCAGGCCTGGCAAGTAAATGGAGTTTAGGAGAAGGATGAAGAAATAAATGCAAAACATATCCAGGCCGGGTGACACATGCTAGGGACCCAGAGGTGGGTCAGCCCTGCGCCCTGTGTTCCAGGTAGACAAAGCCAGCTACAGCCTGCAACAATCAGGACAGTGAAACATGGAAACTGTGGGAACCAAGAGGGGAACAATTTCTTCTGGGGTAACCCAAGGCTTTCTGGATATGAGGATATTAAAGTAAGTCTCAAAATCCGGGGAACATTTATACCTAGAGAGCTAGAGGGAGCTGGAACAACATTTTGGGCAGAGGGAACACCATGGCACAAATGCAGAGACATTGAAAAGTACAGGAAGTTTAGAAGGTAAGTTCTGGTGAGGAAGGTGATGTGGCTGAAGGAAGATGAACAGGGCATGGCACAGTTCGCCTCAGGTTTGGTCAACCAAGTTGAGAAGCCCTTATTCTGGGGCTGTGGGGAGCCATGGAAGGATCAAAAGGCTGGAGTAAGATCTTTTAGAATCGCTTTTCTAGAAGATAGACTTTTAAGGGGCTAAGATGGCTCCTTTGAGTCCTCCCTGCAATGAGGACGACAATGAGTGTGCAAAGGACATGAACTAGAGAGAAAGTTTCAAGGCCCAGAAAGGTCAGGACAGGTTGACAGTAAGTGACAGGTTGACTCAGGAAATGTGCAGAGCAAAGCCCAGGACTCTGACCTGGTGACCGAAAGGACAATGAAACAGGGATGAATTTGGAAATAGAGTTGCTGAGGGCAGTTTTGGACATGGTCATTAAGAAGGGGTCAGACTACTGGGACTGAGGGAGGAGAGGCTGGGGGTCTGGACTCCTGGGACTGAGGGAGGAAGGGCTGGGGACTGGACTCCTGGGCCTGAGGAAGGAGGGGCTGGGGGATGGACTCCTGGGTCTTGGAAGAAGAAGGTTCATATGGAAACCAGCATGCTAAGAAGGAGAACATACCAGTCTAGATTTTGGCAGAGAAATCAGAGCTGGAAGACACAGAGACTGTTTGAGGGCAAATGAGGGCTCAGGACTCAGCCCCAGAAAATTCCAACATACAAGATAAGACAAAGAGAAAAATTGATGGAATTCCAAAGTTGCCATTTTCCAACCTATAAAGATAGCTGATCCAAGCAATGACCAGCAAGAGATGTTCAAGTCTTGGGCCTCCCTGGTGGTGCAAGGGGTTAAGACACAGTGGTATGAAGCTACCTGCAGCCACTGCAGCACAAGTTCAATCCCCAGGAAGGGAGCTGACCCACATGGCACAGCAGACCTTTCCTGTCTCTCTCGCTGCTCCTCTCAGCAGTGTATTTCAGTGGATCCGCCTGTTTTGTTCCCCACTCTGTCTCTGGTGAATCTTCTCACCCCTCACCCCCCCACACACACCTCTGGCCAGTACCCCAGTTCTTATATGCATAAATAAATAAATTTTTTTTTAAAAAATGAGAATGTCAAGCCTTTAGGCGAAGGATTGTTATGAAGGGATCAAAGTGAGTCACCGAGGTCTAGACAACCAGAGACAATGACCCCTTGTCATGGTGCCTCTGTTTCTTTCCAAGCACTTGCAAAGGACTCCACAGACCCACAGCTACACCCTGACCAGGACAATTTGATACGAAATAACACACAGGCCTTAGATGACCTCATCTGACATCAGTCACTGTTAACTGGCATTTTCAGACAGTCGGCGACACATGAAAACGTAGTGGAAATGAGTCCAGAGTAAGAACTTACGATTCTGGAGGTGTGGTAATGGCATAGGGACAGAGAGACCAAAAGGAGCTCTCGTCTGTAAACCTCACATGCTGAGGTACTGACAGGCAACAGGCTGTCTGGGATTGGCTTTTAAAGCTGGGGGACCCGGGAAACAAGAGGTGGGGTGAGAAGGGTCACGGTATGACTCCTTTATTTTTGTTGGGTTCCCTATGACATTTAAAGAGCTAAGAAAGAAGGACAAAGGATGAAGCCCCAGTGAGTCAGGCCCCAAAATCAGGCTTGGGCGGGGGAAGAATGGGGGAGGGGAGCAAACCCGCCCTGGGGCCAGTCCAAGTATCTCTGTTTGGCGAATGGGGACAACTGTGATTCCCAGACCCCAGGAGCAGCAGGACCCTCCTTCCCACAAAGAAGGAAACTGATGCTGAAGATCCAGCAGCGCTAACAGACCTGTTCCCGCTGCTCGTGGCTGCCCTGCTCGGCGTCCACCTGCTGGCCCAGCAGCTCGCGCAGCTGCTCCTCTTCCCGCCGAGCGGCCACGCGCTCCCCAGCCAGCTCACCCCGCAGCAGGGCGACCTCCACCTCCATCTGCCGAGAGAATGCAAGGCCTCCTGGGTCCCAGGGGCAGGGGCCTGGGGACTGGATGCCCATGTCTGATGGGGGAGCCTGGGAGCCGGAATTCCTGGTTTTGGAGGGACGAGGAGGCCTAGCGTCTGACCCCGGGGGAGGACCGGGCTGGCGGCCTGGCCCTGGGCCTCCCCGTGAGCTGGCATCAGCCTTCCCGACAGACCTGCGGCCTCACCTCGATCCTCAGCTCCTTCCGCTGGCGCTGCAGCTCCTTCACCCGCTGCTCCATCAGGGCCACGCGAGTCAGCGCCTCCAGCTGCTGTCCTCGGAGCCGCCGCGCAGCGCCCCGCACCCCCTCCCCAGGCTGGGTGGATGCGGGGGTTGGGGCCGGGACCTGGGGGGGAAGCGGAGCCTCCGCCTGGGGTCCAGAGGGGTGTGGTGAAGAGGAGAGGCAGCCCCTCCGCGGTCACTAAGCCCACCTCTTCCCCATCCCATACCCGCGGCCTAACCACCCTCAGACTCTTATTCCCGCAAGGGGGGGAGCAGGTCTCCGACCCCAGGGAGGGGGCGAAGACCACCCTATCCAGGTCCCTTTCTCTTGGCGTCCCATGGCCCTGGATCTCTCTCTCCTGGGTGTCTCTGAGTCGTTCCCGTCTCTCTGTCTCCGTCGCTGCGTCTGACTTGCTGGGTCTCTTTCTCCCTCGAGTATCTCCCTCTCTCAAGGCTTCTCCATCTCTATGTCTGCTTTTCTGGGCACCTTTGTTTGGGGGTTTCCGTCCGTGTCTCTCTCCCCATCTAAGTCTTTGTCTCTGCTTGGTCTCTTTCTCTCTCTTCCCTCAGGGTCTCTCTGTCTCCCTGTCTCCTTGGGGTGCCCACCTGGCGTCTCCGCACCTGCCTCTGGGTCTCCATCTCTCTCTTGGTCTGAGTCTCTCTGGCTCCAAGCCGGGGTCTCAGTCTTTCCGGAACCCGCCTATCTCCGGGGTTCCTGTCCTGTCTCGGGGTCCCCCTCTGTCCTGGTCTCTGTCCACCTGGTCTCTCTCGCTCCCCCCGTCTGGGTCTCTCAGGGGTCTCTGCATCTCTGGGGCCCTCTCCGGGTCTGTCTGTTGGTCTGCCCGCGTCTTTGGGGACCCCTCGCCGCCTCCCCCGGCTCCCGGCCCGGGGCCTCACCGCGTCGCGGCTGCTCTCGGTGCTGCTGCCTTCTCCCACCTCGTCGTCCTCCTCCGCCGGCCGCCCGGGCCCCCGGCCGCTGGGAGGCTCGGCAGGGGCCGCCTGCTCGCCGCGCTCCCCCGCGCGCTCCTGGGGCTGGGCGGCCCCTTGGGGCTGGCCCTGCGCGTCGCATTCTGGGGCCGGCGGCGGCGGCGGCGGGGTCCCCTCGTCCGGGCTGCCGGGCGTCCCCATGCCTCTGGGCGCTCCGCGGGGGGCGGGGCCCGGGCTCCGTGGCTCCCGGCGGCGGGGGCGGGGCCTGGCGGCGGGCGGGGCCTGGCGGCGGGGCGGGGCCCGGCGGCGGGGGCGGGGCCCGGCGGCGGGGGCGGGGCCTGGCGGCGGGGCGGGGCCTGGCGGCGGGGGCGGGGCCTGGAGCCCGAGCTCCGCGCGGGACCGGCCGGAGCAGCGCGCCCTGGGGGTGGGGCCGGAGAGTTCAAAGGCTGAAGCTGCACATTCCGGGAGCGTGGCCTGGAGTTTCTAGGGGCGGAGTTTGGGGGATCCTAGGACGCCCCGCCCCGGAGGCGGGACCGGAATTTGAGTCCGGGGTCCTCCTGGCGCGACCCTTGCTGGCCTCGCCTACAGCCCTGCGCCGAGCCGGACCCTCCCCGCAGACCCCCCAGTCCCCGGGGCCGCGCTGGGGCCGTCGCGCCTCCCTCGGGGCACAGGCGTGGCTCACACCCCCCCGCTCGGAATTCTCGTGGTCTCGGCTCTGACCCGCTCGCCCCGAGCCCCAGGAGCTGGGGCTCCTATTCTCCCGCTTCGGCAAAAACACAAGTCTGGGTCTCCTGCTCCTCCCGGATGCTAAAGCTCCAACTCCAGCCTCTTCCTCCCCGCGGACCCAGGAGGCCGAGTCTCCAGCCCCGCAGCCCGCGCGGCCCCCGCAGCCCGGCGGCCCCGGCTCCCTTACCCGCTCAGGCTCCGGCGCGCTCCTCCGGGCGCTCCGGCGCCGCCGTCTGCCCGCGAGACAGGTGCTGGGGAGAGGAGGAGACCTGCGCTGACCCCCACCCCGCGCCCGGAAGTGGAGGGAGGGGGACAACAGGTCCAACAGCTCCCAGGGAGGAGGGAGCGGCCAGCTCGCCCCGCCCGCGGCCGCGGCATCCGGCCATCCCGGCCCCATCAGCTCCACCCTCACAACACCCAGCCTGGAGACCCCACACTCCGCCCCCAAGGCCCCCCTTTCTGCGCCCCCTGGACTGCCAGGCGTCTCGGTCACCTACGTATAAGCGCCTCCCTAATGCCCAGACCCTGGGAATCCTGACAGGAAGAGGGGACTGCAGATAGGGGCCTCTCCCCTCTAATTAGTCCTTTAGAAGGGCCCCGACCGGTTTGGGGAGCTGGGCAAGGGGAGGGGGTGCCCTGCGCTGAGTCAGAGACCCGCCCAGAAACAGGGGGAAGTGTGCCCCCCTCCACTTCGCCGTGGGATAGAGGACAAGGGCTAAAGGTCCCAGCCAGGTCCTTTCCTCTCTGGGCAAAAACAGGAAAATAACTGGCATGGGTGAAAGGATTATTGAACATCAGGGGCTGAGCTAAACAATTTATGCCTGCTGATTTAATTTCATCCTCACAGTAACCTTGTACAGAAAGGGATTTCTGACTCCAGCTACAGAAACTGAGGCTGATGGTGACTAATGAGCCCAAAGTCCACACACCAATTGTTCTCTGGAACAGTCTGAGATAGTAGCCATCAGGCATACTGTAACTCCAACCCAGGAAGTGCCTGGAAGATCATTCCAGGGCCTCCCCGGTGGCGCAGCGGTTGAGCGCTGGGTTCCGAGGCTGCCCACAGCCTCTGCAGCACCAGTTCGATCCCCGGCTGCTCCCCAGCCACCGGAGGAGGGTCCCACATGGCGCGCAGACCTCTCCTGCCGCCCGCTGCTCCCCTCAGCAGTGTACTTCGGTCCTTCTGCCTGCTCTGCTCCCCGCTCTGGCTCTGGTGAATTCTCTCACCCTCCCGCGCTTCTGACTGTACCCAGTGCTTGTATAAATAAATAAATAAATATTAAAGAAAAAAAAAGAGATGGCAAGCATTTAAAAAAAAAAAAAAAGATCATTCCAGATGATAGTAACAATAATAGCCAACATTGATTGGAAGCCAGCCAGACAAAGGTGCCAAGTACCTCACACACAGGGACTCACGGGATCATCACAACACCTATCATTATTATTGTTGTTGTAGTTGTTATTTCCATTTTATACAAGATAAGGGAACAGGCCTGGAGAAGTGAAGTACCTTAACCTAGGCCTCACATGGTGAAATGTTCTAATCTAACTTGAGAAGCTCAGGCCCAAATCTGTTTGCTTCTCATCTTGCAGAGTTAGAAAATTTCCCTTCTCCCTTCCCTGCCCCCACTCCTTCCCTGTCCTCCCTGGGGGCCAGAACTAAGCCCAGGCACTTCTAGAAACCCAACTGTTCTCCCAGAAAACAGACAGGAGTCAGATGCAGCGCAAAAGCAAAAAGATTTTTTATTTAAGAAGCTCAAGGGGCTGGTGAGGGAGGGGAAGAGAGGGCGGCTCTGGGGATGACTCCTCTCCACTCACCCCTCCCAGTGCTGTTCTTAATGGATTTCAGTACCAGACAGCCAGGGTCAGGAAGGGGGGGTCTGGATCCCACAGCGTATGTTTGCTGGAACAGCAACGTCTGGAAGGAAGACACCAAGGATGAAACTAAAAGGTCCCAGCAGACTGCCATGCCCCACTGGGGACCCCAAAACCGTGAGCCATTCATATATGGGAAACTAGAGTTCTGGCCCTGAGGCTCCTCCTTCCCTCACACCCAGGAGTCCAGGACCCCAGCCCCTCCTCCAGCAGACCAGGAGACCCCTTCCCCAGCTGCTCACCTATCTGCTTAGGCTTAGGCAAGTTCAGGTTGTCCATGACCTTGATAAACTCTTCACAGCTGAGGGTGAGCCGAGGGTTCAGAGTCCGCTCCTCTTCCACAGTGGACACTGTGAGCCCTAGTGGCCGACAGAGGGAGAGCAACGTCAACCAGGACAGAATCTTGAGCCAGAACTACATTTCCCAAGAGGCCTCAAGGGCCCCGCTGGCTGGGGACTAACTGGCTCTTCCTAAAATGTTCTTGCCTGAGATTGCCGTTCCTCCTCCTCCACAAACACTGTGGGAAATATAGTTTCCCACCATCCCCTAAGCTCTCTAAGGAAGTCCCAGGAAAACCCACACCTGCTGGAAATCTAGGAGTCCTAGTTTATAGTTCCACATTTTATAAACCTAGATCAAAGAGTTGATCTTTTCCACCAGAGGAATTTCTGAGAATTATAGACTCCCATACCCATGAAGATTACAGCACTTTGTTGCTCCTTCTCAAATAAGTAATATTGAATGTAAGTCCCACACCTCCTCCAGGAAGCCCTCACCATGGTAATCATGAGCAGGGTAGATCAGACAGTCTCCTGGAAGCGTGAAGATCTTTTCGTGGACAGAGTGGTACAAGGTCTTGGCACAGCCTGGGGAGGGAAATCTCAGAGGTCAGTGGACCAAGAGTACTAGACAGGCCTTCCAAACCCCTCAGGAAAAGGGTGGGAGGATATAATCACTGTAATTAGCCCCTCCTCCTTCATTTCCTGCCAGTATCCCTCTGTCTAGATAGAGAAGAAAAGGGCAGGGCATTGTAGGCGGATGGAACATGTAGTGTATTGAGGGGTCATAAGAAATTCAGCATGGCTGTAAATAAGGTTGGGATGAGTCCCTGAAGCACCAGGAAGTTGCACGTCTCGCTCTGGGGATGCCAAGAAGAGGTAAGAAACTGAAGACGGGCCTCCCCTGGTGGCGCAGCGGTTGAGCGCTGGTCTGTGAAGCTGCACGCAGCACCGGTTCAATCCCCAGCCACTGGTGATGGTCCCACATGGCACACAGACCTCTCCTGCTGTGCCCGCTGCTCCCCTCAGCAGTGTATTTCGTCCGTCTGCCTATTCTGTTCCCCGCTCTGGCTCTGGTGAATTCTCTCACCCTCCCGCGCTTCTGACTATACCCAGTGCTTATATAAAATAAATAAATAAATCTTTAAAAAAAAAAAAAAGAAACTGAAGACATGAGGCTGAGAAGGCAATGGAGCTGTGGTTTGGACAAGAAACCCTCACTTGTCATTTGGGGCAGGAGCAAACCTCTCTGGAATGTTCTTTCACCTTTCATTTCAGCCTAAAGTCTTCAATTTCATGGCTATGTTGGGAGTGGATAAAGGGGAGATTAGAAGCCTCAGAGACAAAAAGAGACCACGATACAGAGATAAGGAGAGAGGGAACAGGAAGCAAAAGGTGGGACGCCTGCGGACAAAGTTGCCCATGGTCAGCTCATGTGACTCTGTGTTTCCTCTCTCATCTAGCCTGGCCGCCTTCCCTCTAGGCTGCTAAATCTTCCCAATCTAGTGTCAACCCCATATTAACATACAAACTCAAAGGACAGATGAACCCTGAGATTCTGAAACTCAACTTTCGTCCTACAATAAAATCCCTGAATCTAACTGCCCAGCAGCTAACTCCTACAAATGTAACACTACCTTTGTAACATTACTTGGAACACTACACCCTCATCAGGGAAACCACAGAATCAAACTGGTGGCAGCTAAATCATACAATCTATGATTGTATTCCCTGGAGTAGGTAAACTACGGAATCCAACTCCACACGGCTCCCCCTGCCATGCCTCCAGCAGCTAAACCCTTTCTGGAGATCTTTAAATATTCACAAATCCTTTGATTCCCTTTCTTTCAAAATATGGCTAGAGGCCTCCCTGGTGGTGCAAGGGGTTAAGACGCAACCTATGAAGCTGTCTGCAGCCACCACAGCATGGGTTCGATCCCCAGCCAGCCAGGTAGCAACCCACATGGCGCAGCAGACGTCTCCTGACCCTCCTGCTGTTCCCCTCGGCAGTATGCTTGGTCAATCTGCCTGTTCTGTTCCCCACTCTGTCTCTAGTGGGTCCTCTCACCCCCCACACCTCTGGCCTGTACCCCATTCTTGTATGCAAAAATAAATCTTTTTTTAAAATGTGACTAAATTTTACCCCTGACCTACCTTAGAGATTCACATCTAACAAATAGGACATTGCAGAAATGACCACATTTGATTTCTGAGACAAGGTCAATAAAACAAAATGTCTGTCTCTCTGATCACTCCTCTGGAGGCATCCAGCTACCAAGTCATGAGGACACTCAGACAGGTCCCCCAGACGGGGCACGGCATCTTGTAAGCCCTGAGAGGGAGACACCTTGGAGGTGGACTCCCCAGCCCCATCAAGTCTTCAGATGATGGCAGTCCTGGCAGACGATTCGCTGACAGCCTTGAGAGAAACCCTAAACCAGAACCACCCAGCTAAGCAGCTGCCAGCGGCCTGACCCTTAGAAACCATGTAAGTTCGGGTAATGTGTTTCATAGCAATAGATAGCAAACACCTCCTGAATCGAACTAACCCCCAACAGCTCTCCCTCTGACTCTCTCCCCACTCTAGTAGCTAAATTCCTGAATCTAATCTGAACCCCTAAAAGTCTAACAGTCATTTGTTCATTCCTGCAATGGACTTGACCTGACACATTGGCACACACAGTTATGTTAAGATGTCATGCTGGGGAGAGGGGCCTGTGACCTTGCTGGAAGTCCGTCCGCCCACAGCCCCGGATGAGCAGGGCATCTCCAGTGAAGGCCATGCTGTGGTCATTCAGGACGAAGGTGACACAGCCAGAGGTGTGGCCGGGGCTGGCCCGGGTCTCCAAGGCCTGGTAGGGAGAGAGAACACAGTTACCAGTAAGCCAGTGGTTCGGCCGTCATAGTGAAAGTAGCCCCAGAAGCTCCCACCACAGGGTCTAGATAACTTTTTTCGGTAAAAAAAAAATTAGAGTCCCAGGCTCAAACCTCACACCAGAGGAAACTCCAAATGGATTAAAAGGAAGGAAACAAAACCATAAGCCAGGGCAACAACAAAAGTGGAAGTGAACGGCTAATCTCTAGTTAGGGAAGATCGTTTCAGTGTGACCCCGAAAGTCATAAACCATTAAGGAAAAGATCAATGTTTTCAATTTTTTTTTTTTACAATTCTTTTTTTCGTCTTCTTCTTTTTTAAGGGATTTATTTATTTATGCATACAAGAGCTGGGGTACAGGCCAGAGCTGCAGGGGCGGGTGTGTGTGTGTGTGTGTGTGTGTGTGTGTGTGTGAGAGAGAGAGGATTCACCAGAGACAGAGCGGGCACTAGAAGAGGTAGACTGACTGAAATACACTGCTGTGGCACAAGGGGTTAAGCACTGCACTATGAAGCAATCTGCAGCCTCTACAGCACAAGTTCGATCCCTGGCCGGCCAGGGAACAACCCACATAGCAAAGCAATGTTTTCACTTTAAATAAATGTGAAGTTTCTGAATGGCAACAACATCATAAAATTTAAAGGGAACAGACAAGTTGGAGACTATGTTTGTAACAAATAAACTAAGCAAGGTCACTATACTTAGTATACACAGCAATCTTGCAAATCAAAAAATAAGTACTTTTTCATTTTTTATCATGTGATACTTAACAGTCGTTAAAAATTATATCATTTAGGTAAAGTTTAATGATGTTCTACACAAATATTAGTGACATAAACTGATGTTCAATATCCAGTTAATGCAAAAAGCAGGTTACAAAGTAACTTGTACCCTATCATCTTTTGAAAAAAAAATTATTCCTTAATTCTAAATATATATTTTTTCTTTAAGCTTTTTCTACCTTATCTTCTTTTACGGTGAGTGTGTAATTTTATCATTAAAAATAAAGCACAAAAATCAGGATAAGGATCTAAACACTAAAAATTATAAAAAATTTAGAAAAACATCTATATATCTAAATGTCACCTTCTATATTTCCTTTTCATATATATATGTTTCCTTTCACATATATTTTCTTTTATACATATATATTGATACATACATACATATATACATATGTATAAAATCTTGAGGTAGGAAAGATTTTTCTAAACATAATGGGAAATTCACAGGCCATAAGAAAAAAAGCGACAGATATGATTTTCCAAACATGGAGGGTGGGGAGAAATGAGAGCTGAAAGGCAAAAAATAACTCAAAGACAATATTAGCAGCACATTTAAGAAAATATTATAAAATATAAATAGCCATAATATATAAACAGTTCCTAGGCATCAATAAGAACTCTCAAAAGAAAAATGGACAACAAGCCATATTTATATTTATGGAAGAGGAAACATAGTCAGAATGCATCTGAAAAGACATCTAATCTCCCTCAAAAATAAGGAAGGGAGGGGGAGACTTAAATTTTATTTTTTTATTTATTTATTTATTTATTTGTTTGTTTTGTTTATACATGCACTGGGTACAGTCAGAAGCGCAGGAGGGTGAGAGAATTCACCAGAGCCAGAGTGGGGAGCAGAGCAGGCAGAAGGACCGAAGTACACTGCTGAGGGGAGCAGCGGGCGGCAGGAGAGGTCTGCGCGCCATGTGGGACCCTCCTCCAGTGGCCCGGGGGAGCAGCCGGGGATCGAACCGGCGCTGCAGAGGCTGCGGGCAGCTTCGCAACCCAACGCTCAACCGCTGCGCCACCGGGGAGGCCCGGGAGACTTAAATTTTAAAACCCATATTTATCACCTACCACATTGCTAACTGTCAGAGTTGCTTAGGGTATCTGAGACAAAGCTTTCATTGCCTGGGATATATGTGGAACAATTCAGTGAAGTCATTTTAGAGGGAACTTTGCAGTGACCATAGACATCTAAAATGTGCATGTTTCTGACCCCTAAAAGTCACTTTAAAGACTCTGCCCCTGACACAGGTGCAAAAAATGCCCACGAGGGAGAATGCAAACTGGTCTGACCACTATGAAAAGCTGTGTGGAAGTTCCTAAAAATGGGGCCTCCCTGGTGGCAGCACTACGAAGCTACTGCAGCTCTAGTTCAATCTCCGGCCAGGGAGCTGACCCACATGGCACAGCAGACCTCTCCTGTCTCGCCCGCTGCTCCCCTTAGCAGTGTATTTCGGTAGATCTGCCTGTTCTGCTCCCTACTCTGTCTCTGATGAATCCTCTCACACACCCCCACTACCTCTGGCCTACACCCCAGTTCTTCTACACAAAAAATAAGTAAATTTTTTTTTAAAAATAAAAAAAAAGAAAGAGTAAACACCAATGGACTATGGTGGAGGATTATTAGGGGGAATGGTGTGATGACATATATTTGTAGATGGGTGAACTTACACTCTTAAAACATCTACAGTGTTGTAAACCAATGTTTAAGTGTGTGTGTGTGTGTGTGTGTGTGTGTGTGTGTGTGTGTGTAACAGTATTAAGATATCCTTTGCCTCTTTTCACTCTCATTCCCCCAGAAAGGGCCTGTGGAATTTCCACGAGCTCCGTGACCTGTGACAATGCCACTGTTCTGACGGCCAATGATGTACGTTTGCTGTTTTTCTTAGTCTGTTTTAACTTCTAATACAGTTAATATTGATCAACAGAACCCACACAAAAATTTTTTAGGGTCCTCCAGTGGGTTAAGGAGATCAAAAGAGATGTTTGGGAACCACTGATATAGAACATTGTATTCTTAGGCAAAGGCTTTAGGGGTGAAACATCTGCAATATGACTTTTGAATACTATCAGGAAAAAAAATTATACATAGAGGAAGAGAAATAAAGCAAATGTGGTTTAAAAATATGTCAACAACTAGTGAGCATTGGTTGAAGTGGATGGGAGTGTTAATTATACTACTATATCCATTTACTGTGGGTTTGACAAGATTAAAAACCAAAAGATGTGGCTGGAGGGCAGCTAACATCTTAACCTAATTCAGCCTCAACTGTTCCTGAAATTTGAGTGAACTCAGCTGCAGAATATTCTTCAAGGATGCTGAGGGGCCTGCCTAACCCCACATTCTTTCGGTAATATCATTCTCCCCTTCCACGATGCATCAAAGACGTGACACAGCTACACAACTGCTCTTTCACCTGTTTCCTGCAGCAGCGAAATCTGAAACTGCCTCTACTAGCTTGAAAACACACACACACGGGATTTGGACACGCAATGGGGCGTTTGCTGGGCAGTTCCAGCGGCCCGCACTGCCCCCTGGTGGCAAGCGAGCTCTCAGCGTCTTTTCCATTTGGCCCTCAAGCTTATAGTTTTGCTCTATTATTCAAGTCATAATCTTGTTATAAAATTATTATATAATTATATTATATCATTAGTACATCAACTGTTTCTATACCTCTAAACCTAAAAAGCCAACGTGTCATTTTCCATCGCAGTGAAATACCCTGAACTTTATCAACTAAACTTTTTGTGACAGAGAACAAGATTATTTGTTCTGTTTAGGGCACAGTGTACCGTTATCTACAACTTGAAGACACATCACAAAATAAGATGGGGTGCCTTCCTGGTGGCACAAGGGGTTAAGACGCAGTACTATGAAGCTATCTGCAGCCACTGCAACACGAGTTCGATCCCTGGACAGGGAGGTGACCCACATGGCGCAGCAGACCTCTCCTGTTTCCCCGCTGCTCCCCTCAGTAGTGCATTTCAGTAGACCTACCTGTTCTGCTCCGCACTCTATTTCTGGTGAATCCTCTCACCCCCCACCCCCCACATCTCTGGCCTGCACCCCAGCTCTTGTATGCATAAATAAATAAATCTTTTAAATAACAAAAACAAAATAAGATGGAGTGATAGCTAGATAGAAATGTGCACTGTAAATTTTTTTCAACATTTCTGTATGCTTGGAATTTTACATGAAATGTTGGGGGAGGAGCCTTACAGTATTTAATTACAAATAGCAGGAAGCACTGAAATCTTCTCATGGGTCACATGAGGATGACCTGTGATCTCTTAAAATATACTAATTCCTTAAACAAATTTACTTCAATAACAAATAATTTTTAAAACACACACATAACAGAATAAAACAGTTCCATCAGAACCTCTCAAGTGGGACCTGGGCAATCAGCATCTTGAGGAACACTCCCCCTAAACCAACGTATTTAATAGGCAAGACTAACTTCCTGAATCTGCCATTCCTCTGGAAGCTAAAATGTTCAATTCTCAATCACTGAGCATTAAAACAGAAGATTCATCCTATGATGAAACCATCTGAATTTGAACCACTCTGAGTATAAAATGTACAACAAGTTCAAAAAACCATCTGCCAGTTTCTACTGCATTAAAATAGATGCCAGTTCTATCACCCAGAAAGTCCACTCCTTTGGTATCAAGGGCAATGTCCACCTAGAGGTTTGTACAAGAATCTTCTGGCAGCATTCTCCAGTGTAGCCCAAAAGTGGTATTTGCCACAGAGGAGAATGTATAAACTGCTGTGTTACAGAGGTCAGCAAACTATGGCCAGTGCACCAAAACTGGCCCATTTGGTAAGGCCTGAGAGCTAAGAAGGGTTGGGGAAAAAAATCAAAATAAGAATGACAGGTGGTGACACATGGAAATTAAATGAAATTCCAACTTCAGTGGCTATGAAGTTTTAATGGAGCCAACCCACTTCTTGTATGCATTGTTTACAGACGTTTTCATGCCAACAAGAGAACTGAGAACTTGAGGTCTATAAAACTGAAACTAATCACTATTTTAGTCCTTTATAGAAAGTTTGCCAACCTCCCCCTCTCTTTCATTTTCCCCGGAAATGAGATTTCTACTGACTTCTTATTTTAATTTTTCAGCCTACTGAGTACTTTACTCGAGTAGACTATTTACAATCCTTACATAACATACATTTAAGATAACTATAAAGAACATTTAGGAACAGCTATCCACAACATCATGCAAGGTAAAGGAAGGAAACACGAAAGACCACACACTGTTAATGGTCCTGTTTCAAAATAAGGAAATAAATCAGAATGGTTAAGTAAATTAGACATGGCTAAACATTAGTTAAATCACTCAGGAGAATGATCTCTCGGCAGTGGTGTGAGTAGCCAGGAAAAGGGATGAGGAAGTTTTCTGGGGTGGTGGGAATGTTCTAGGTGAGTGGTGGTAATTCAGGTGTAAACATAAGTCAAAATTTACCAAGTTACAGAGTATAATGTGTGTACTTTTCTCAATATTACAATGTGATGTTACATATTAGTACATAATATGCTACAATTAAAATCTCAAAGGGGGGAGGGAAATAAGGAAGAAGGAAAAAACCTTTGCCATCTCCAAAGGTTTACAAAGAACTGTGATGAAAAATAAAAAAAAAAATACTGAGTAATTTAAGGTAATAACCATGTTGGACAGGATATAGAGGAACATGGAACCATCTATGCTGCTGGTGGGAATGTAAAATGGTGCAGCCATGTTGGACAACAATTAGTATATGATCCACCCATTCCACTCCTAGGTCTGTACCTAAGAAAAATGAAAACAGGGGCCACTCTGGTGGCACAGGGGTTTAAGACAGCACTACCAAGCTATCGCCAGCCAGTGCACCACGAGTTTGATCCCCAGCCAGCCAGAGAGCAACCCACATGGCGCAGCGGACCTCTCCTGCCTCGCCTGCTGCTCCCCTCAGCAGTGTATTTCAGTCAGTCTGCATGTTCTGCTTCCCACTGTCTCTGGTGAATCCTCTCACACCCCACACCTCTGGCTTACACCCCAGTTTTTGTATGCATAAATAAATAAATCTTTAACACAAAAAAAAAAAAAAGAAAAAAGAAAAAGAAAAATGAAAACAGACATCCACATAAAAATAATGTCCGGGCCTCCCTGGTGGCACAGGCGATTAACCTCAGCACTGTGAAGCTGTCCGCAGCCTCTGCAATGTGAGTTCGATCCTGGCCGGCTGCGGAGAAACCCACATGGCGTGGCAGACCTCTCCTGTCTCACCTGCTGCTCCCCTCAGCAGTGTATTTTGGTCAGTCTGCCTGTTCTGTTCCCCACTCTGTCTCTGGTGAATCCTCTCACCCTCCCGCACATCTGGCCTGTACCCCGGTTCTCATATGCATGAATAAATAAACCTTTAAAAAAATAATAATGTCTATGGATCATCTTTATTAATGATGACCAAAAATAGGAAACTCAGTGTCAATCAACTGACGAGTGAATAATTAAAATGTGGTCTGTCCATACAATAAAACATCATTCAGCAATAAAAAGAAATGAAACAGTGACATAGGCTGAAGGGGCTAAAGGGCGTGTGGGGAGGTCACCTGAGTGGCAGCTAAGGGGTGAGGGGTTTCTTTTCAGAGTGATAAAGATATTTTCTAAAACTAAAAAAAAAATAGTTAATATTCTAAAATTATGGTGAGAAAATACACAACTCTGAATACAGTAAAAGTCACGGAACTGTAGTAAGTGTGCAAGCTGATGGTTTGTGAATTATATCCATGGAAGCTAAATCCACTATAGGTTTCCCCTGCTATCCAAAAGGAGAACTTTCTTATTTTGGTGTGATTTGGTGGGTGATTTTTTGGGACTGGGAATGCTCTTATCATTAATTAATTAATTATTATTATTTTTTAAAGATTTATTTATTCATTTGTGCATAGAAGAACTGCGGTATAGGGCAGAGGTGCGGGGGGTGGGGGGTGGTGAGAGGATTCACCAGAGATGGAGTGGGGAGCAGAATAAGCAGGTTGACTGAAATACACTGGTAAGGGGAGCAGGTGGTGAATCAGGAGAGGTCTGCTATGCCATGTGGGCCAACTCCCCAGCGGGGAATCGAACTTGTGCCACAGTGGCTGCCCACAGCTTCATAGTGCTTAGACTTAACTCCCTGCCCCACCGGGGAGGCCCCCTATCATTAATTTATAAGGAAAAAAATTTGAGCAATCCCAACACAAAATCACCTACCAAATCATACTGAGCAGAAGTGTTCTATTCTCAGATAGCCGAGGAAAACGTATACAACTAAGTTCTTCAACAATTGTTTATCGAAAACATCACTCACTCAGAGGAGGAGGAAGAGGGGTCAGAGCCAGGGAGGGAGGAGCACAGGGACTATGGGGATGGTGCACGGGTGCATTGGTGAAGGAAACTCTGTGGGGACTACACCTGAGGGGGTGGGGGGAAGCAAATATTGTTTAAAAATGGACAACGATGTAAAATTTTTTTTAATTAATATAAAAAATTAATTATTAAAAAAATTTTAAAAAGAAAACATTACTCACTCAATTTAACAAGGGGTTTATTTGACACAAAACCTCAGTCATTTCTAATTCCGCTAAAGCTTCTCAATCCAAAAAATGCTTGCAGTCTCTGATACCATGAACAATGTACATAAATATACAACACCTTTTTTTACCTGCTTCCAGAAAAAGACTTAAAATAAAGAGCACATAGGGCCTCCCCGGTGGCACAGCGGTTGAGCGTTGGGTTGCAAAGCTACCTGCAGACTCTGCAGCGCCAGTTCAATCCCCGGCCACTGGGCGAGGGTCCCACATGATGCGCAGACCGCTCCTGCTGCCCACTGCTCCCCTCAGCAGTGTACTTTGTTACTCTGCTTTGTTACTCTGCCTAGTCTACTCTCCACTCCGGCTCTGGTGAATTCTCTCATCGTCCCGCGCCTCTGACTGTACCCAGTGCTTGTATAAATGAATAAATAAATAAATCTTTAAAAAAAAAAAAAAGAGCATATAACCACTGTAGCTAAATCCTCTGATTCCACACATAGCCCTCATTTACGCTAAACCCTATGACTCAGATGAACTGTTCTGGAGGCCAGGTCCTCACCATGTTACCTGACATTCTGTCCAAAGTCAGCCAAACTCTCCACCTTTAGCAACTCTGATCAGAAAAATGTGCTGAGAGGTGTTTCCCCTCCAAGGGCTGCCCCTGCCTGACCCCCATATTGCCGTGGGTAGAAATTCAGGCTGAAAACCTGTGGCAAAGAAGGAAGAGGCAGTGGGAACCCTCGGACCATTCTAGGGTGAGGCAATATTCAGGCTGGGGCTAGGATGAGGCAAACCTGGGTCTAATGCGCAATATTTAAAGAAGCACAAGCTCAGAGCGCCTGTGCTGGGCTTGGACCAACTCTTTAAATGCTGCACCAAGCCCCACTCCCCTCCTTTCCTGGGTTACCCTAGTCCCAACCAAAGGCAACAGGATGCTCCTTCCTCCAACATTGGGCTTTCAGCCCTGGCCTGGAATTCCAGCTCCCAATCAACTTTTACCAAAATGACAGGCCACAGGAGCTGCACCCAGGCCTCAGAAATCTCTACAACTGATGTTGACTTAAGAGGCTCTGGCCAGAGCCACACCCTCCAGACCTTTTACCCCTAGGCCCCAACTAGTGTAATCAGGAAGCCAGGTCTGAGGCCTCGCCCAAATGAGGTGCCCAGCCCTTCAGGCCCCCTATTGCTTTAAGTCCCAGAAGTTCCAGCCACTCCACCCTCACCCCCAACTTGGGACCCAGCATCCAACTCACAAAACGCCCAAAGCGGATGGAGTCTCCATCCTCAATGTGCAAGTCAGCCTGGGCTCCACTAAGGCGGGAGATGACAGACTGGCAGCCGGGTAGGAGAGACCGGAGCATCCCTGAGCCCGTAATGTGGTCGGCATGACAGTGGGTGTTCACTGGGAGAGAGAGGAGGGACAAGTCCAGGAGGGCACAGAGAGGACGCAGCTTCCCACCACCCAGTGCCCTCCTCCCTCAGGCCCAGGAGCTGAGCCCCCAAACTGACCAGCATACAGGAGCCGCAGTCCCAGGTCCTTGACCAACTGGACATCCCGCTGCACCATATCCAGAACAGGATCGATCAGAATGGCCTCTCGGGACTCCCGGTCACCCAGCAGGTAGGTGTAGGTGCAGCTCTTGGGTTCAAACATCTGCGAGGGGGGTGAGGGACTGGTGAGAGAGGAGAACCAAACTCCCTCAATGGGGAGTCCAGGCCTGCACCCCTTTCTCTTCTGAACGTCCACAAGCAGAAGCCCCAGCCCCTTCGCTTCCCGGGGTCAGGAATCGGGGGCCCAGGACCCAGAACCAGTGAGTCCCAAGTCAGGGGCCCCAGCACCCTCGCCAGTAAAGGAGCTCAGCTCCAGCCCAGGGCTCCCAGACCTCCTTCCTTAAAGGGTCCAAGAGCCCAGTCCCAAACCCCTTTCCGCTAGGATCCAGGCTTCGGAGTCCCGGGATCTCCCCAGTTTCAAGGACCCAGGAGTTGCGCCCGTCACTGCTCCCACGGGCCGGGAACCCCCTCCCTGGCCCACCTCGCACCTGCCGTAAGAGGACGGGGGCTCCGGAGCCGCTGCGCAGGCTGAGCTGCCGCCCGGCGACCTTGAGGACGGCTCCGGCCATCGCTCCCGCCGCGGGTCCGGCCGGCACTGAGGCGAGAGCCCGCCGAGCCGGGAGCCCGGCGCCGACCCGGCGGGGAGGAGCGGGGCGGGGCGGGGCGGGGGCGGGGCCGGCCTTAAAGGGGCCGCGGCCGCGCGGGAGCGCGGGATCCGCCGGGCGGGCTGGGGCCTAAGGCGGGGAGACGTCGGAGACCAGAGGCTGTGAAACCCCAGCAGAGAGAGCGGCGGCGCTCTGAGGTGGGAGACGGGCTGGGAGCAGCGGGCCAGGGATCATGTGAAGGGACAAATGGGTGGTGAGATAATCCTTGCTATGAAAAGATACTTGGTTCATGGTCACTAGTGGCCAGGAAAAGGGTCCCCACATTCTTGAGGGAGTGTTGGATGGCTGGGTGCCTGGTTCCCAGAACAACACCTGATCTCAGTTTTTTAAAAAAATTGTGCAAGTATTTTTACCTGGAATGGTTGCTTCTTCCCAGGAAGAAATCAGGTGTTTAAAAATAATCTTGTATAATAGCTTGCAAATTCAGATTGAGGATCATTTGGCTTCCGTTGGGATTCGAACCCCCAAAAATGGCCTTTGCTCATTTACACTGAGAACCTCGAGTTGCAAAATTGTATTGTCTGATCATAGGCTATTATAGAAAGTCTTCTTTTTGGAAGGACATCAGTAGTGAGAACAGAACATCTATTCTTGTCTGAAGGCTCTAAGTTACTTTGTTACAGAGAAGCAGCCTTTATTTCCAACTCAGGTGGACCACTTTCAAGGAGGTTATTTGCAACAACTATTGTACATTCTATATTCATCTTAAATCTGGAGTTTCCAAGGAACAGCCCTGGAGGGGATTATCAGACCAGGCCCCCCCCCCCCCTCCCCCCACAACCTCTTTGCATAGGCCCCCTTCGCCTTGAGCCCATCAAACTCTGCTTCATTTAAATTTTGTGTAAATCTTATATTTCAGAAGCAGCCTATAGCTCTCTCCCTGCTTTTTGGAAGATGGCCAGTGTTCCCTCTGCATCCCGCTGTCCTTACTACAGCAAATCAATAAAACCCAATTCTAGGGCCTCCCCGGTGGCGCAGCGGTTGAGCCCTGGGTTGCGAAGCTGCCCGCGGCCTCTGTGGCGCCGGTTCGATCCCCGGCTGCTCCCCGGCCACCGGAGGAGAGTCCCACATGGCGCACAGACCTCTCCTGCCGCCCGCTGCTCCCCTCAGCAGTGTACTTCGGTCCTTCTGCCTGCTCTGCTCCCCGCTCTGGCTCTGGTGAATTCTCTCACTCTCCCGCGCTTTTGACTGTACCCAGTGCATGTATAAACAAACAAATAAACAAAAATAAATAAATAAATAAAAATTCATGCCTCTTAAAAAAAAAAAACAATTCTAGTGTATTCCTGGTGCTTTTTAGGGGCAAGGGACTCAGAGAGCCACTCTGAGGCAAGGGAGATGCTCAGAGTCTTGAGAAAGACATTCAGCTATACCGGACAGACCCAGAGCGACTTGCAGGGGTACGTGGAGAGGGAGAAATTTGAAATGGTATTTTTGTCAAAAAAATTTTAGTCCCGAAGATACACTTGGCGATGGGAAGAGATGTTGGGACATTTTAGTAGGGAGAAATGGGCAGAAAGAAGCAGCTCATGTCAAGGAGGGAATTCTGCTCATTTATTCTGCACATCAAGGTCTCCTGCATGCCTGGCCCGAGCTGGGCAAACCCAAAACCCGCTTCCAGTCTGAGTGGTGGGGGAGAGGTACAGACATTGGGGCTAAAAGTGGGAGAGGGTACAGGGATGACTGAGATCTTAGGGGAGGGAGGCCTGGCACCAGGAACTCCAGCAAGGGGGTGGGTGACCGCCTGCCAAGGCACCGGCCTTGGTCACCGCCCCCTACAAGCCCCAGCTCCGGCCTCAATGCGGTGGGAGGGGCTAAGATCGTCTACTCCCCCAGTAGCAAAGGGCGCCGCAAATAACGTGCCTTATATTGAGCCGTGACCTCGCTCTGGATCCGGAGTCCTGCCCCGCCCTCCAGGAACAGAACAGGCTTTTTTGCAAACGCCTTGAGTGAGTCTGAAACGGTGGGTTTTTGCAACTGCCTGTGGAGACAGAACTCCGGTTCCCAGTGGGAAAGAAAGTGGACACAGGAAGGGAACGTGCATAGGTTCGGAGCTGTTTCGGGGACGTCTAAGTGAAGTTTCTCGGTGTTTGCTCCCACACGTGCTTGACTCCAGCCAGCCACCGTCGGCGCCGCCAGCCGCTTGTGCCCTTCACTTCGACCCAAAGCCTCGCGCTTGCTCACTCAGCTTGCTCACTCAGCTTCCCCATACTGGGCACCCACGCCCTCCTTCCCTTGGGTTGCCCCCACAGGAGCTCGGGTCGCGAATGTGCGTGCGTTCTGCCCCCTCTACTGCCCGGCGTGGGTGGAGGGAGTGGAAATAAGGCAGCGCCGAGCCGCTCTTGAGCGCTCGCTCCCCCGGCCCTCCGTGGCTCTGAGTTGCAGGACGCCCTCTCTGCTAGAAGGCCCCTCCCCGGGGCTGAATTGCCGAGATTTGGGTCTTATTTTGTTCGATCCTCCCATTCCCGATTTGGGTCCACTACAAGGAACCAGTGATTAAAGGAGATGAGAGCAGTAAGGGAGGATTCTCCAAGAGTTGGGGCTCAGAAAATCAGTTTGAAGGAATCTCAGGTTGAAAGTTTGAGAGCCCAGAGCGAAGACCACTTGGGCCCACTCAAATGTGATGTTTTGGAGAATCTTCCTGGCTGGCTTTGGAGAGCCCTCAGTGATCAGTTATAGGGCTGAGGAAATGACAGCAGGGTCAGGGAGGAGTGGTGACTTGTGGGGTTTTAGAGAGATCACTTGGGAAGATTACTAGAAACGGGCACCTAAGTAGCTCTGGGGAAGCCTTAGTTTGGAGCTCCAGGTAAGCTCTTGGAGTCCCTTAGGATGATGCATGGCAGTAATGTGGTATTTGGGGAATGTCCAGATACACTCACATATCAGGGTAGGAGAGATCCTGGCCTAGACTCAGGGCGCTGGCTGCTGCCTGGAGCCCACCAGCGCACCTGTCCCCTAGTTCTCTACCAGGGCCCACTGCAAAAGCCCAGCCCATTGGCTGTCCTGACTGTGTGACAAGACCTTCTCCTACCACACCAAGCTGGCAGTCCACCACATCATGCACAGTGGTGTTTGCCCCCACCTGTGGCCCCACCATCCAAAGCCCTTTAGCCACCATTCCAAGCCCTCAGCCCACCTCTGGACATGAGTGCCCCTACCCATGAGTACCCCAACTGCCCCAAATCCTTCTGTTACTCCTCCAAGCTGGAGGCCCACCACCACATATACCATGCCATTGACACCAGTCCCTATCCTTGCTCACACTGCTCCAAGGCTTTTACGTTAACCTCCAAACTGGCTGCCCATGGCCTATGTCATGATCCCCCCACTGTGCTGAGCAGCTAAGTCCCTGCCCAGCATCACTGCTCCAGTTATAGCCTTTGGCCAGAGGTGCCTCCTGAGGCAACCTTCACCAACACAGCTACCATCAGGCTAAGAGCCAGGGGCAGTGGGAGTGAGCCCTTGGCTTGGCTCACTGGCCCCTCTGCCACTGGCCCCAGTCAATAAATAGGTGGCATTTCTAAGCCAGGCTATATGGATGTGCCTCTCCCAGAGATGGGTGGCAGGGAAACTGGCTGCTCATGCTGGGTTTAAACTTAAAAGGGGGAGGAACTCTGCTCACCCATTTAGGGAAGGTGACTATGTCACCCACAGAGTAGCATGGCCCCCAAACCACATTGACTTGTGGTTTGAAAGTCTTGGCTCTGGTTTTTTCCCTACCTGTTCACATAGCAAAGGTTAAGTCCTCCAGCATCATCGTGGGTTGGTGAGGAGCATGGGGAAATAGGCTCTCTCCTTGGTGAAGTTTAAATTAGTGCCCCCATTTTGGCTGCTTGTAGCTATAGGAAATTTAAAATGCACACATTTGTGACAAGCCTACTTCTAGGAATTTATCCTGTGGATAAACTCAAGCCAGTGAAGAAAGCATAAGGATGTTCACTACAGAGTGATGGGAAACCACGCCAAGAGTCAAGCAGTAGGGGACCAGGTCCACCATGCAATGGAAGACGTACTAGTGGGGATGGGGTAGGGGGTGGAGGCAGCTCTAGCTGCACTGATGTGGGATGATTCCCAAGGTATACTAAATGATAAAAGCAGGAACCAAAGGGTGTCCTACTGATATTAAAAAATAAGTAAAGGTCAAACTTTGGAGTTAGCCCAGTACTTACAAGACACAGGCCCTGGGACAAGCACTGTCACATCTTTGGACTCAGGTGCCTTAGCTGTTAATTGGGAGCACTGGGCAGCCTTTCTAAGGGTACAGGTGTCCTCCGGGGCAGACGGTTCCCTCTTGGAGCCTGTTCTTCCAGCTCTAAAATAAGAATGTTCAGTCGAACATTAGATGGCTCTTCTACAGATTAAGCACATATTATGTGCTGGGTCCTACACAGAGCACTAGGAAATCAACAGTAAGAGAGATCTAGTCTAGTGAGGGAAGTAGACACTAATCAAGTGTCCAGCCAAAAAAATAAAGGCAAGTCCATTTTGAAGAACAAGCAGGGGAGCCTTGTCTCCCTTCTCCCTCCACACAGATACCAAGATTTATTACAAAGCTGTAGCAATGAAATCTGGAGTGTTGGCTTGGGAGTAGGCCAGGGCAAAAGAACTAAGAGCTCAGAAACAGCTGTGCTTGGAGGTCCTGACAGATGACAACCCTACCTATAGATAAAAGGTTGGCAATATTTTTCTGTGAAGGTGCAGATAGAATATATTTGTAGGTTGTGTAGGCCATATGGCACCTGCCACAACTACTCAGCTCACCACTGGAATGCAAAAGCAGCACAGTATGTTGGATGTGTTCCTGTAAAGCCTTATTTATAAAAATAGTAGCTGGGCAGGATTGTATCAGTTGGCTGTAGTTTGCCAACCCCCATTGTAATGAGTGGGAGAGTATAAATTAATCAGTAAATCAGTTGAAA